GCTTGTCGCCCATGAACTCCTAAGGTTCCGAGATAACCTGCCCACGACGAAAACTCTCATGCACCACGGGCTGGGGGTCACGAGCCATCGCATGAAGACGTCCAGGATGTTGACGCCACTGCTCAAGGGCCCATTTGGTGAACTGGTGCTTGCCCTTTGTGAGAGAGCGAGCCTGCGCGCGATGAGCAAGCCTTTCCGTCAAATGTGACCAGTCGTCGAGTTCGTCATGATTGGCCGAGGGTATAGTGGCCGACCAACAAAGCCAGCGATCACGCCCCTCCTGAAAATGAGCAACATGCCGCTGAAGCTGCTGAAAGCAATCGGACAGCTGCTTGGGGTCACGCCCATGCTTGGCCAACGACACCGTCCGTAATACCAGCGTGTGCACAATGCCCCACTGCTCACCCACTGGGTCAGAGAGATGAGCGCGGCCTGGAGCAGCCTGCGACAGCTGCCACTTGAGCAGGGGGCCTGCTCCACGCAGAGGCTCGAAGTCCTCCTGCTGATGGTGGACGCTGAAGGCCATCTCCATCTTGGTGACCCAGGTGTTGTACCTGCTGGCGAGCTGCGACGAGCCCGGTGCATTAATGTTCCCAAGGAAGTGCTGCTTCAGCGTGCGTCGGCTGATCTCCCCGAGCGATGGAACAGCAATTGTGCCTGAGGGCCAAACCTCTTCGGGAAGATAAAACGAGACTGAGTTAGCCTCTGCTGCCGTGGCCGTAGCCGGCTTGTGAAGCAGATCAAATTCAGCTTGAAGGTCTTCTGGGAGCTTCGCCCGACGTTGTGCAAGCGCTTCCTGTTTCTTAATGGAGGTTTTACTGCTTGGGACCGCTTGCTTTTTGGGACGGCTAACTTTCGGGAAGGCTGGTGCCGTGACGAGGCGCCGATGCCACCACCTCTGTCTGGACCCAAGGACGTCGACCTGCAAGGCGATGTGCGTCTTCCACGGAACTGACGCAAAACCTCGCATGCGAAAGCGATATGTGGTGCCTTGCTTGACCCAGCCATAGTCGATCAATGTACCTTGAGCCGCCTTGTCGCAGGTGACCTTCACGTCAGGATACAAAATCTCGCCCTGCAACTTCGAAGGCCATCCTGAACGCAGAAATGCTGTAGGTTCCAGGTTCCAGTCGCCAACAACAATCCAGGGGTCGGCTAACGCCGACAGAAAAGCCCCCAAGCTGATCAAAATAGACTGGCTGTGGCCTGAAGTAGCTAGTCCAGGCCAGGGATAAATGGCCACGATGACGACATTGCCGCTGCTGAGGTGCAGGACCATGGGTGCAAACCCTCGGCGTGGATCAGCCTTGCCGTGCCTGACTGCAGACTGGCGAATACCTTGGAAGCTGGTGGAGGCCAGGCGCTTGCGGATAGCAATAAGCTCGCCGCCAGAGGAACCCCCATTGCCTGTCGCCTTGCTGCCCGTGTCAGCCGTCTTCCACCCGTCAGCATCAAAGGTCTGGTCAACGCCGTCGGCAAACCTGGACTGTAACGCGTGCATCTCCACGAAGCACACCATGGCGAACGAGGTGGTGTTAGGAAACTTGCGAGCCTGTGGACCCCATTCTGGAATATTACCATACAGAAAAGAAAATGAACCATCACCTGCAGCAAGAGGAGCCACCAGATCAGGCCGCCCAGAAAGCTTATGCAGCACTGGGAGCTGTGGAACTGGGGCAGCATCCTCCAACAACTTAGAGTCCTCAGCAGCTGCGGGCACGCTCCTGAGACGTTCCCCTCCATTAACCCATGGGGGCCGATCTGAAGCAGACGGGCGGAGGGGGTCTGCAGGGCGGCCAGGGGCGCCAGGTGCACCAAAACCTCCGAATCCCAGTTTCGCGACATTCCCGAAAGGCGCGGATGTCGCCAAACCTGGATTATGCCGATTTCGGTGGATCCCAGGGCCGCCAGGTGCAGGCACGCCAGGAAGAGGAGCAGCAGGCTGCTGCCCCTCGGCACCCTCAGTAACTGTGGGCACGGCGTCGATAAAATCTGCCGCTTCCGCATCCAACATGTGGTCCAGGTCATCGAAAGGGGCGTGGCTTGCGTCGTCCCAGCCAGGCGCAAGACCCACAATCTCAGGCACCGATGCCATCTGAGTCGAGGATGGAGCAATCGAAGCACCCGTGGAAATCCCCCCCGTGCTGGAAGAGCATCCTGTAGACGCCTCCTGAGACCCACTCGTGGTAATCGAAGCCACCGGTGGTAATCCTCGCAAGACTGGCCGAACCCGAACGGGGCGCGGAAGCTGAAGCTGAACTGCCAGTAGCCGCAGCTCCTGTGGGCGAGGGGCTCTGACGATCAGGGGCTGGATCCCTGCGCCCCTCGCCCAAAGACGAAGAAGGCCACGAACTTGCCGAAGGGCTCGCGCAGCCAGTCGTCCGACCGACGGCAGGGGCGCAGGCCGCCTGGCTGTCTCGGTCGGGCATCCACACGGGGGGTGCACCCTCGTCCGTGCAGGAGAGTGTCGACGAAGCCCAAGCAGTCGTCAACTCAGCGGCAGGGGACGGCACCGCCTGGCTGTGCTGAGAAGGCATCTGCACTCGCGCACTGGGCGGCTCCGTGCAGGAGATGCAAGAAGCAGGCTCTGACGGCGCAGCAAGGTGGGGACGCCCGCAGAAGGGAAGCACCACCTGGAAGCCACCCTGCACGCGCCGCTGCGGCGCCCGTGTGTCGAGGGTCCCCTGAGCTCCCCTGAACGCAATCGCTTGCCGCAGCAGCTCCTCCTGCCACGGATCGTAATCTTCGGGCTCCAAGTCCCGCAGCATCTGCAAATAGCGAGCTCGCTGGCTGCGCCGAGCGCGCCAAGCGCGCTCACAGATGCGCCTGGCCATATCAAGAGCTGCAATGGCAGGATTCCCATGGCCTGCTGCAGCAGCTGCTTCTGAAACAAGCGGACTAAGCGCAGGATGAGACAACTACGTCGAGACGAAGGGAACGCAATGCCCCTTCCAGTGGGCCTCGTCCGAAGCCTCGTTAGCCGAGCTAACATCAGGGGTCCATCCGGCAGTGAAGGAGCGGAGGCTCCGCTCAAGCATTGCACGATGGTAAATCGCAGCTCGACGCTGGGGATCCTGATCCTTAAGCTGAAGAATGCCCGACAAGGGCTGAGAGACGGGGAGGAAGTGAGCCTCCTCCGCCTCAGCGAGGAAGATGTCGCCATACTGCGGCGCTGAGCACCCTTCGTACAGCGTGACCTCGTAGGGGCTGGCTTGGTACGACTGCGGATCGAAGACGAGCTCCTCCGCAGCGCTCATGAAGATGTCACCGTAGAAGGGCGACGGCAAGCCAAGGTAGGTGGGCCTGCTAAAGTCCCTGCTGCGCTGCTCGGGTAGCGTCAAAGGACTCCTTGGCGGTGCGCCTGGCAGCAGCTCGAATCTCTTCAGGCCCGTCAGCGGCACCGGTTGTAGGAGCGCCGCCGTCGTCGCCCTCAGAGCCTGCGGCGGCCGCCCCACCAGGCTGAGCAGAAGCACCAGCGCCAGCGCCATCACCAGCGCTATCGCCACGCCTGCGCTTCGCTTGCATCCGCAAGGACACCTGCTTGGCCTCCGCTCGCAGAGTGGCGAGCTGCTCCGCTGAAGAGCCGCGCGCCTTGGAGATCTCGGCCTTGATGCCAGCCGCAAGGTTGGTCTTGACGCGCTCCCACTCGCGAAGGTCCGCAGGGTCGAGGTCGAGGCCTTCCGTGCTGAACATCAGACCGTCGACGATGGTGAGCCCTTCGACCTCGTTGTCTTCGCCAAGGAGCGTGGACAAGTTGAGCGACGATGCGCCTGCAGCAGCGGGTGGCGCCGCCGCTGGCTGAGGAAGCTGCTTCGCACAGGCCTCCTCCCACGAGCGCTTGGCCTCGACAGCCGCCGTGACCGCAAGGTCTTCAGCAGCACGCGCCTCTTGCAGCCAGGCCTCACCCTCCAAGACCTTGAGAGAGTAGCGCTCGAGCCAGGACTTGGCCCGACGGTACGCCAACCCCTTGGCTGAGACGTCCTCCTCAAGGAGCGGCTGCCGCGGTGCAGCAGGAGGCGGGGCTTCCTTCTTGGCGAGGAGCGCCTCCACAGCTGCCAGCTCCTCGGTGCCGTCGTCGCCAAGCTTGGCCCGAAGGGCCGCCATCGGATCGGCTGGCTCGGGCGGATCCGCTGCGCCGCCGTACAGGTACCAGCCCTGGTGGTGGACCCACGGACGCCTGTCGACATGGCCCGCGGAGGCGGCGGCCTTAGCCTTGGCCTTCCCACGCGGCGGCGGAGGAGCGCCTTTCTTGCCACGCCCCTTGCCTGAGCCCGTGGCGGCTGCCGCTGCCGCCTGCGACGGCGTCGGGCCGGCGAAGGGAGACCCAGCAGGCTGAGCGTGGAACGGCGAGTCCGAGATCTGAGGCGGACCAAAAGCCCACTGCCCAAGCGGGCGCTTCGAACCATCAGGCTGCGCCACCAGAGCCCCCGTGCACTGGAAGCACCAGTGGTTGTTCTTGAAGTTCCAGCGGTACCTGCAGTGCGGGCACGGGTCTTCCCACCACCGCTGCGCCAGCCATCAGGGGCCATGAGTGAACGTGAGTGGAGGCTAGCGAACCCCTCGACCGAGGGACCTCCGTGAGAATTGATTGCTGCCGCGGACTAGCGGTATCCAGTTCTGCCAATGCGGGCTCAGCCCGCGAAAGCATCAGTCTTGAGCCAAAATGGCTACGGAGGAGGAGGAGGAGAAGAGGACAGAAGGAGTAGAAGGAGGTGGCAGGAGGTGGGAGGAGGAGGAGGAGGAGGAGGTGGAAGGAGGAGGAGGAGGAGGAGAAAGGAGGGAGGAGGAGGGGAGGAGGTGGGAGGAGGAGGAGGAGGAGGAGGTGGGACAAGGAGGGCGGAAAGGAGGAGAGGCAGGAGGAGGAAGAGGAGGAGAGGAGGAGGGAGGAGGAGGAGGAGGGCAGGGAGGAGGAGGAGGAGGAGGAGGGGGCGCGAGGAGGGAGGGAGGAGGAGGGAGGAGGGAGCAGGAGGCGGAGGGCAAAGAGGCGGCGAGGGGCCCGCCTCCCGGCACGTGGACATCCTGCCCGCGCGCCCGAGGCCCCCCTCTTCCGGCCTGCCGTGCCCGGGCGGCCGTGCGGCACGGCACCACGGGCGCTCCTCTCCTCCTCCTCCTCCTCCTTCCTCCTCCTCCTCCTCCTCCTCCCTCCTCCTCCTCCTCCTCCCTCCCTCCTCCTCCTCCTCCTCCTCCTCCTCCTCCTCCTCCTCCTCCTCCCGGGGCCTGCCGTGCCCGGGCGGCCATGCGGCACGGCACCACGGCGCTCCTCCGCCGAGTGACCTCGACCTTCCAGGGTCACTAGGATCGGGGAGACGTAAGACCCGGGCACGGGGGACTCGGAAATCCCCGACGAGGTCGTCAACAAAATGACGAGGCCGAGCCTGCATTTTGACGAGGCCTCCCGCTGCAGACATCCCAAGAATCTCCTCCTCGTCAAAATCCGAGGCGCGGTCGTCAAAAAACGATGGCGAACCCGAGTCCTGGCAAACCCGGGTCTTACGCTCCCCCGATAGGAGGAGGAAGAACTATGTTTTTTCCAGCGCTATTTTGGAGAGGAGGGAGGAAGAGGCGAAAGGGAGACGACGCACACACACCTGATCATTGTCCGACTCGTGCCGGGGAGTCGGCAGGCAACCCTGCCGCAGGACCGTCATCGCCCTTTCCTCCCGAGTGATGCCTGCAGGAAACCAGATGGCGGCTGAGACGAATTGCCCTCGAAACGAGTCAGGAGGAAGAAGAACTGTACACAGACACCGATTCTGACCAGGCCCATCCTGAGCCCAGGATCATTGCATCCGCCCGCTGCCTCGGCCAGGAAGGCATGTGCACCGATCCTGGGTCAAGGACGGGCCTTGCCAGGGTCGGGGCATGTGTATAGTCCTCTTCGCCCGAAGAGTGCTAAAAGGTAGCACTCCAGACCTATAGACCTATCTGGACTGCCTCTGACCTGGACAGAAATCAGGAGGTCGATGTCCTGGTGTTAATGTTTAGCTCTCCTGGAAGGTCAGGGGAGGAGCCTTACTCCCGAGACGAAGCGAAGCTAGGACTCGAGCAGGGGATCGACTACAGAACTCATGTACCCTAAGCTTGATTTTCTAGTCGGATCTGCGAAAAACAATGCGTACACTGTTCGTAGATCTACGGACATGATGCGCATTACCCGACACGAAAATTCTGCTGTAAATCAATTGTGTAATCGATCCCCTACTCGAAGGGCGAGGATACATTCGGGCGAGGATAGATCGAGAATCTCTGAGATCTGGCGGCTCTAGAGGAGGTATCGGGCGCCGCGGCCTTGCCAGAGCGTTCCGGAACGCTCTGAGCGTTCCGGGACACTCTGGAACGGATTTACCCTCGTCCTGACCCCGTCCGATACTGCGAGATCTTCGTTGAAAGGATTCAGGAAAATTAAGCCCCATTGGGGGGCTGCTTAGGCGGATTAGGCGGGATTAGGCCGGATGAAGCGAGATTAAATCGGATTAAGCCGGATTTCGAACCAGGGCAAAGTCAGAATTTGACCTCCCAGGAGTTGCACCCGAATCTACTGTACCGCCCTTGAAAAGTAGTGCATCTTCTGGAGATCGTGTCCAAGAATTTTTCGGTTGGACTTTCCTGCGGGAGTTTTTCATCCTGGGTCCGTTACTGATGGCCCCATAGGGCCGAAAACAGCCTCTGGAGGCCAAAGACGACGAAAAGCCGAGGGCGACGAAAACAGACGAATCGACGATCAAAGTTGCTGCACTTTTCCATTGCAGCGTTTGACCTGGCAAGATTGCCAGACAACGGCGAGCAGCCTTACACGTGTAGGGACTCAGGGTCTTGGCTGTCTCTGGAAACATGGTCCGAGGGGGGCCAGTGGGCGACTATACTGCCAAACTTTTGGTTGTGTTGCATCTTTGGGAGACCTCGTCGGTGTCACCTGGTCAGCCTGGCTCCCGTGTCAGCATGATTCCTCCTTCCTATTCCTTTTTGAATGTATCACACGCATGCTCCCAGTCCTCCACCTATTTTTCTTCCTCTCCTTCCTCTCCCTCCCCTTTTTCATCTCCCGTCCCTGCTCCTGATCATCCCCTCCTCTCTCACGCACTCTCTCTCTCTCTCTCTCTGTCTCTCTCTCTCTCTCTCTCTCTCTCGATTTTCTCTCTCTCTCTCTCTCTATCCGTCTCTCTCTCTCTCTCTCTCTATATATATATCTCTCTTTCTCTCTCTCTCTCTCTCTCTCTATATATATATGTATGTGTGTCCCTCCTTTTATCCCTCTCTCTCTTTCATCCACTTCCTCCTCTTCCACGCTTCCCACGAACTCTCTCTCGTTCTTCCTCTGTCTCTCTCTCTCTCTCTCGATATCTCGATATATCGATATCTTTATATGTATATATATATATATATATATATATATGTAGATTCCTCTTCCTATATGAATATAAGCCCGGGCGGGGGGAAAACCCATCCCCCCCCCAGAAAAAAAATGACTCCCGGGATATGGGGCTTTGGGGCCCTCCAGACGGGCCTCGAAGCGGCCCCTGGGCCTCACATGGCGCTTTGCCAAGCCTTCCCAGAACACCTAGGGCGATCAGGGGGGTCATCGGAGACGTCCCAGAGACCCCCAAGACAGCACAAGAGCGCTCCAAGAGTGACCGACGTGACCCCAAGATGGCCCAATAGGCCTCCAGGGCGGCCCCAAAAAGGCCTCCAAGAGCACTCCCAAGAAGGCCCCCCGAGGGAAAATCTCTGCGTGCGGCTACGCCCAGAACGCGCGGGTCGGCGTCCCCGCGCCCGCGTTGGGCGGAGAGACACCCGGCGCCGCAAGGCAGGGCCCGACTGGACTTCTCCAGTGGCCCCGCCTGGCAGGGACGCCGAACCCGCTCCAGCGCCAAGAAAACCAACAGGGTGGCAGTGGGTGGGTTTCAAAGCAGCCTGCGCCGCGCAGGTGGCTGAGTGGGAACGAGAACCCAGGAGCGGCAGTGGCCCCGGGAGGCGGTGGCGACGAGGAGGGCCCGTGGCGACGAGGGGCCGTTGCGACGAGGAGCACCAGCAGCGCCCCGAGCGCCAGAATGCACGGACGGGAGCCAGGAAGGCGACGGGGAGGGGCAGTGGCGACGCGGAGCACGAGCCGCACCCGAGCGCCCAAGAGCACGGGCAGGCGCGCCAGCACCCGACGACCCGCACAGGGGTACCACTGCCACCGCCAGAGGGCGCGGTCATCCTCGCGCACTCGGGCCTGGAGGAAGGAGATGAGCAAGTGGCGTAGCATCCCCGCGCCCAAATCCACCAGCCGCACGCGGCCACCGGCTGTAAGCACAACGATCCGCCGCGCCACGGGGGCACTGCCAGGCAGTGAACCAGCGCGCTGCCACTGAGGCCACCAAGGCCAGGAAGCGAGGAGACCACTCGAGTCCTCCTGGAGATTTTCCTGCCCCCCAAACCGCTGCACGATTTAGGGGCGATCAAAAATCATTGATTTTCTATTGGTTTTTGGTAATTTTTAGGGTTCTCCTCTTTTCGGCTTCCCGACGCTGCAAGACGGCGGTCTTCTGGGCGTCCGAAGCCGCCGGGGAGGCTCCACAATCGCCCCACAACCATCCGAAAGGGTTTCCAGGCAGTCCGAGAGAGCCCCAAAACGGCACAACACGGTTCCAAGATGGCCCTCAGAGAGCCCCATGGCGGCCCAAGATGGCCCAAAGACACCCTCCGAAGAATTCCAAATCGTGATTCGGTCGTTCAGGGAGACCGCGGTTGGAGGCAGGGTGGCCCGAGGAAGCCCCCGGAGGCCCCCAGAATACGCCCAGGAGGTCTCCAGAACGCCTTAAGAAAGCCTGAAACAACTTCTGTGAGGCCCCTAGAGGCTCTCCAAGGAGGAGCCTCCGCAAAAAAGAGCTGAGGAGGATGGGGAGAATGCGCAGGACATGGCGAAAATAAGGAAAAAGAAACATGGAGGAAGGATAACGAATAACATTATCATAGCGGCGATGCCAGAAAAGGTAACCAGGAGTTATCGCTAAATTGTCGGCTTGACCCTCCTGCTATTCCGCCTGCACAAGGACCAAGGTGCATGGCGCGAAGCGCCACTGCAGTCTTGTATATATATATATATCCGTCGCTCTCTCTCTCTCTCTCTCGCCCTTTCTCTTTCTCTCGTCGTCCTCCTCCTCCTCCTCGTTCTCCTCTTCCTCCTCCTCATCCTCCTCATCCTCACCCTCCTCCGCCTCTCCCTCCTCCTCCTCCTCGTTCGTTATTTCTTGTTGTCTCTCTCTCTCTCTATCTCTCTCTCTCTCTCTCTCTCTCTCTCGCTCTCTCGATATCTCCCGCTCCCTCTCTCTCTCTCTATCCCTCTCTCTCTCTCTCTTTCTCGATGTATCCCTCTCTTCCTTCTCCATCCCCCTCACCTCTCTCTCTCTCTCTCTCTCTCTATATATATATATAGAATATATATATATATATATGTATTTCTCCCTCTCCCCCGCCAGCACCCAGCCATGCATTATATCTCCCACCCCCTTCTCGAAACCTTCCCGGCGCCGCGAGTCTCGCCCAGACGACGGCGCGGATGGCTCTGACAACGGAGCGGGTCCCATGCAGCATGATTCATGGATTTCGGAGGAAACGAGCAGACATGGGGAGGTGTATGATGAGATCGTGGATGGGACAGCAGAGCCATCGAAGCTCAAGAAACCCAGGGCACCATGGAGGCAAGCAGGGTGTTTCTTGGCATGGGTCCCCACTGTGTGGGTCCCCACGGAGGATGCGCGACAAGGATGCAAGGGCCTTGGAGGGCCATTTCGAGGCTTCTCGAGCGGGGCGCGGCCAGCGAAAGTGGCCAAGGATGGACCGAGGAGGCAAGGATGCAAGGGTACCCGTGGGAAGGCTGCCCGTCCTGATCATGCGGGTTGACTGTACACCCTGCGAAATGCTTAAGAAATCATGGGTTAAGAAATTCATAGTCTCAGAACTTAAACAAAAACCCAAAATTTCCATTCAAACCTTAGGATTTACATTGAAACATTAAGAATAATCGAGACTCTGGCCGAAAACTTGGATTTTCTTAAGCATCGCCTAAGGTGTACACGGGGGGGCGAAGGGCTGGGCACCTTTCGTGTCCATTTCTGGCCCCAGGGGGGCTCTTCAAGGGCCCCCGGCGCGTACAAAACGTGCACCCCCACCCAGTGACCGCCCCCCGCAACGCCGCCCAACCCAGACCTCTCGACTCCCCTCCGGAGCTCGACGAGGCTCCCCCAGAGAACACGCGGCAATGCCCACCCCTGCGCGGTACCGCCCCCCCCCCCCTTGACCATTCATTCATGGGCCTCAGGAGGTCAGCCAGACGAAGCTCGCCTGACCTCACCACAAAATTGACGAGCGGGGCCTCGGCCTCTTCCTGGGCCAAGGCACCCCGCACACCACGACGACCAGAGCCCCGGGGCATTGCAGAGGGCTCTTGAGGGCTCGAGGGGTAATCCGCAGGCCGTGTCCCCGAAGGGCGCCCAACCCCCGCCCCGCGATCCCCCAGGAGCCCACCTGTAACGGGCGACGGGAGGGGTGCGGGCGGGGAGGGGCACGGCCAACGCTGAAACCACCGAGGAGGAGCCCTCCCCCCCTGAGGTCCGACGTTGCCGAAAAATCGCAACATCGCGAAAAAAACACGACCCGAGCCCCAGACCCCCTCTTCCCGCGGCATTCTGCAAGCCGCATCGAGCTGAGGTGGCCCCTGGGCCAGGAACCGGGCGAACACGCTGGGCGTGAGAAACCACTGCGACGCCCAGCTCTCGGGCCCCCCAGCGGCCCCAGCCCCGCCGTGCATTCTTCTGTTCTGTGCACGGAGCCCTCCCGCTGATATGCATGGCCGCCTCGCGTTTATGAAGGGGCCCTGAGACACACAAATAAATACACACAAATAACAGGATTCCCTATATTTTTCCATATTTTCTGGCTTTTTCTCTTCCCCCCCACTTCCCATGTCTTCCCATATTTTCTGGGAAATCTACAATTAATTGCGTCTGGGTGTTTTTCGCCCTCCTGACATACGCATTGCCGCCTCGCGTTTTTGGCAGGGGCCGGGTGCGCCTCGGGGCACTGCCGCGGGGGGGGGCGAGGAGCTCTGCGGCCCAGCCCCAGGACGCAGCGCTAAGTCGGGCGTGTCCCCTTACAGGGGGATTCTCGACGAAACACCAAAAACACCCAAAAAATGTTCCAAAATGGTCAAAAAAATACTCAAAATAGTTCCCCGACTATTTTTTGACTATTCTTGAATATCCCCCCTGTAGAGGGACAGGCCCGACTTAAACGTAGCGCCATTTCTCCCGCGCGCAGATCGATGTCTCGAATCATTGTCGGCATCCACTCCCCCGGGCCCCAGGACAGAGACGTTCCCCCGGCCGTCTCTCTTGGTCCTGATCTTCGACACCCGCGCTCAGGCCCCAGTCTTCGACACCCACGTTCCCAAGCTTCGGTCGGGCATGTCCCTCTATACAGGCCGATGTTGGAGGAAAACTCAAGAATATTCAACAACAGATTCAAACAAGCATGCAAAAATACTCGAAAAATCGTCCCCCACCTTTTTGTTGACTATTTCTGAACATCCCTCCCGTAGAGGGACAGGCCCGACTTAATCCCACGCCCCGCCGTATCTTCTTGCAGGACGTCACGCACTTCGGCGCCTGGCACTGCCTCCGCCGGGCCGGGCTCCCCCAAAACCGTCCGCGCGCGTCTGCCGCGCGAGCGGTCGCGGGGGGAGAGGGGGGGTGCGGGGCAGGGCGGCGCGAGCAAGACGGCGGCGGAAGCAGCGGAGGGCGGAGGGAGAGAGAGCCAGGAGCACGACCAAGACGGAGCGCGGGAGCGTTTGGGCGCGGCGTAAATGGGGGGCGATACTTGGAGGGGGGGAGGTGCCCTTCTCGGGCCCGACTGGCCCCCTCTGGGGCCCTCAAGGGCCCCTTTAGGAGCCCTCAAGGGCTCCTCTCTGCAGCCCTCCCTGCGCCCCCATTTACGCCCCTCGTTTGCGCATCCTCCGAAACCTGGGTGTCGATCTTCCTCTGGGCGCTGCGTGTGTTCACGCCGGACATTTTCGCCCGGTTTCGGGCCCCGGCACCCTCACAGATCGATCTGGCTCGAAACGTGTCGCAGAAAGATGGGGTCTGGGGCTCGGGATTGTCACTGTTTGTGATGTTGAAGTTGTTGTCGCAGCGTCGGATTTCAAGGTTGGTCATCGCCAATCGTGGTCGGCGTCAATTCGTGTATCGTCCTCGCGAATCGGCGACGGCTGGCATGGACCATGACCAAGACCCCGCAACATCTTCGTCACAGTCATCGGGCTTCCTCGACAGCGGAGCAGCAACTCACCAAGACCCCAGGCCTCCAGACCTCCAGCGTCTCGCAAAAGTTCGGGACGGGCATGCACTCGCTGTTTTCTGCCCCCGGAACGTGCAGAGAGGTCTGGTGCCACAGAGAGAGAGAGAGAGAGACAGACATATATATATATATATATATACAAGACTGCAGTGGCGCTTCGCGCCATGCACCTTGGTCCTTGAAGTTTGGTATGCAGGCGGAAGAGCAGGAAGGTCAAGCCGACAATTTAGCGATAACTCCTGGTTGCCTTTTCTGGCATCGCCGCTATAATAATGTTATTCGTTATCCTTCCTCCATGCTTTTTTTTTCTCATGTTCGCCATGCCCTGCGCGTTCTCCCCATCCTCCTCAGCTCTTTTTTGCGGAGGCTCCTCCTTGGAGAGCCTCTAGGCGCCATGGGGCTCTCTGAGGGCCATCTTGGACCCGTGTTGTGCCGGTTTGGGGCTCTCTTGGACTGCCTGGAAGCCCTTGGGGATGGTTGTGGGGCGACTTTGGAGCCTCCCAGGCGGCTTCGGACGCCCAGAAGACCGCCGTCTTGGAGCGTCGGGAACCCGAAAAGAGGAGAACCCTAAAATTCACCAAAAACCCATGGAAAATCAACGAGTTTTGCCTCGGGGGGCCTTCTTGGGAGTGCTCTTGGAGGCATCTTTGGGGCCGTCCTGGAGGCCTCTTGGGCCATCTTGAGGTCACGTCGGTCACTCTTGGAGCGCTCTTGCGCTGTCTTGGGGGTCTCTGGGACGTCTCCGATGACCCCCCTGATCGCCCTAGGTGTGCTGGGAAGGCTTGGCAAAACGCCATGTGAGGCCCGGTGGCCGCTTCGAGGCCCGTCTGGAGGGTCCCAAAGCCCCAGATCCCGGGAGTCCGGTTTTAGGGGGGGGACAGGTTTTCCCCCCGCCCGGGCATATAAAAATATAGGAAGAGGAATACATATTTATACATATGTGTAGATATGCACACATATATATTTATATAAAGAAATAAAGAAAAGGTAGATACTGCAGAAGAGATAGTAAAGAAGATATATGAACGAATCCGCCGACCCCAGCTTGCTGGAGGTGCACAGGCGTGTGAAATGATCGGCTGGCCCCCTCCTCCTCTCCCCTCCCCTGGAGCTCCAAGTCGCGCTAGAGGGAGGAGGGGGGCACGAGCTCCCCGGCGCACCCCTACAGTGGAGGCCAATCCACAAGAAACTTTCCACAGGAAACCCAACCCTGAGACCCAAGGACGTCCACTGATTTTTGGTGTCGGGACGTCACGCCTTCCATCGCAAACCATCGAAACCCAAGAAACCCAGGGCACCCTGGAGGCAAGCAGGGTATTTCTTGGCATGAGCCTCCACTGTAGGGCCTCCAGCGCCTCCAAATCTACACTCCGTGGCCTCCAGCATGCCCAAGCTGGCTCCACGAGCGCCGAGACAATCCAGGAGAGCGTCGAGACGGCCCAGGGAAGCCCCGCGACGATCCATGATGGCTTCAAGACGGCCTACGAGGCCCCCAAGACGGCCCAAGAGTGCTCCCAGGGGGCCGCCGAGAGGACGACAAAAGGCAAGAATGGTCCCACTCCCCTTTGAAACACGCACACATGTGTTTTTTGCGTCGGCGGCTGGGCATGGTGACTGCGCTGGCGAACAGGGCATGTGTAGGGCGGACAGAGGCGAATTGAGCCGCAATCCGCAGTGCAAGGGAGACGAGGGGGAAGGCCCGGCACGGGCGGGAAGGAACAAGCACACACACACGCACGCACGCACACACACACACACACACACACACACACACACACACACACACACACACACACACGCACACGCACGCACTGACTACCTACCAGACCACCCCAACCCAACCCGAAGACCCGAATTTCGGGTTGCGGGGGGTAAGGGTTCCACATGTGTTTTTTCGATGTTTCCCGACCCCCCCCACTGGAAATCGAGGGTAAATCTAAGCCATCGGGTTGGGTTGGGGTGGTTTGGTGGGTGGTGACACACGCGCCCGCGCCCGCGCCCGCGCCTTTTCGTCCTGACGGCATCCACTGCGGCCCAAGGGGCCCCCCGTCCCGGGTCGGCCCGTGAGGCCCCCGGGAGGGCCCAATACAGCCCCGAGAAGGCCAACGAGAGCCCAGGACGCCCCAGGGGCCCCTCCAGAGGGCCCAGGAGGGCCCCAAGAGAGGCAATGCAGGCTGACATCTCGAGTCGCTCCCGCCGCGATGGCCCCAGGAGCCCCCCCAGTGACCCCCCGAGGCGCCCCCAGGAGACTTCCCAGAGGCACCCGAGAGGCCGCTAAGAGGCCCCCCAAAAGCCGCTCAGATGCCCCCTAAGTGCCCTCCACGAGGCCTCTGAGAGGCGTTCCGGCAGACACCCATCTGCATCCACGAGGCTCCTGGACCCCAGGCGGAACGCTGGCACGACTCTTGGCGAATGCACGTCTGCGTAAGACCCTTGACAACTCGCACCAAAAGAGGCAGCTAAACTGTGCATGGCATGGGAATTACAGAACTGACATTGTCTGTGATAGGCTGCACTGCTGGTAGGCAATGATAGATACAAAAGGAGGTGCTACGACAAAAATGAAGACCAGATAAGTTATGAACTCTAACAGCGAGGGCACATGAAGATACAGAGGGCGAGTGAGAGAGAGAGAGAGAGAGAGAGAAAAAAAAAAAAAACAAAAAAACAATGAGAGAGAGGGGGGAGAGAGGGCGAAAGAGAGAGAGAGAGATCACAAGGGAAGCAGGAGAGATGAGAGAATGCCCAGCCGATTGCCTGCAGCGAGCTTGCCCCCAGCGCGAGACGCACCGCCATCGCGACGGCTCGGAAAACCGCGGCCTCTGCGTCCGCCCGCGGGACAGGGAGTCGCCAAGCGACGGCGATTTTCTTATCATACATATCTGGCGCCGCGCCAGCGACACGGACCGATCCTGGATGGGCTGGTGGTGACACGCGACGCGTCCAGAGCTCAACTCGACCCTTCGACCTGCAGCAGGGAACGGCGACTGTGAGCCCCACGGACAGCACATACGGCGGGCCAGTGTCGGAGACGTAGGTGATCGTTTTCTCATTTACTGTTTTGCCGATCGGCGCGGGCCCCCAATCACTCTCCCCCCCACCATGGAGTAGATCTTGGCTGTTTCTTGCGCCTGTTTCGAGCAGGTGTGATCTCCCCCAAGGGGCGCACTGTTGCAAACAGAAGCAACAAGCAGAGGTCCGGAGCCAGACCCCCCCCTCCCCCCCCCTTCCGTCCAATGTAGAAACGCCGCGTAAAAAAACGCTCACCAGGCATTGCCACGATTGCCCATGGACGGTCGGAAGAGCATCCCTTCACTGGGACCCACTGCGCCCGCTTGGTGCAGCTGCACGACAATATGCAAGTAACCGGTGCAGTTGCGATTGGAAAGAAAAGGGTACCCGCCCCCTGGACCCTAGCATCAGAAGAGGCCAACACACGACCTCGGCTACAGGAAAACGATAATGAACACGTTCCTACACCCCCTCCTCCTCCTCCTCTTCCTCCTCTTCCTCCTCCTCCACCTCCTCCTCATCCTCCTCATCCTCCTCTTCGCACTCCTCTCCTCCTGCTCCTGCTCTCCCTCTAATTCCCACTCCTCCGTATCATCCTCCTCCGCGTCACCACCATCACCATCATCACCAACATCATGATCGTCATCAGCATCATCATCACCATCATGATCAGCATCATCGGCAGCAGCAGTAAATCATCATCAACATCAGAATCTGCATCATCAACAACATCAACGTCAGCAGCAGCATAAGCAGCATCAGCATCACAATCATCATCAGCATCATCAGTATAATCATCATCATCATCATCATCATCATCATCATCATCAGCACCACCATGATGATGATCATCGTCACCGCCACCACCACCACCACCATCATGAGCATCATCGTCAGCATCATCATCAGAAGCAGCATCATCAGCATCATCAGCATCATCGGCATCCGCATCATCATCAACAGTATCATCATGATCGTCATCATCACCATCAGCAGGAACATCCTCAGCATAATCATCAGCAGCATCACCATCAGAATCATCATCACCGGCAGCATCAGCATCATCATCGTCATCATCGTCATCAACATCGCCATCATCATCATCGTCATCGTCATTGGTATTATCATCGTTATCGTCATCGTTATCGGCATCGTCTTCATCACCGTCAATACCATCAGCATCAAGATCATCGTCATCATCATCATCATCACCATCAGCATCATCAGCATCATCATCAAAAACCGCATCATAATCAGCATCAGCAACACCATCAGCATAAGCATCGTCATAACCATCATATCATCAGCAGCATCACTACCATTATTGTCGTCATCGGCATCGTCATCATTATCAGTGTCACCATCATCAGAATTATCATCATCGCCATCATCAGCAGCATCAGCATCATCATCAACATCACCATGATCATCGTCACCGTCATCATCATCATCATCATCATAATCATCATCATCATCATCATCATCATCAGCATCGTCATCATCATCATCATCATCATCATCATCATCATCATCATCATCATCACCAGCATCACCATCATCATCAGCAGCATCCACGTCCCTCACCCCCCCTTCATCCTGCTCCTCTGCCTCATCGTCCCCCTCCTCCTCCTCCTTCTCCTCCTGATCCTCCCGGCTCGTTCCCGGATCGCCGGGGCGCCTCGGCACACCCTGCTCCACGCACCCACCCCGTGACACCTCGCTCGCGCTGCACAAGCGCATCCATGAAGCGCCCAAAGCGTCAGACGCCATGAAGATGCTAAGGTGAAGGGGCCCTGGGACACACGAATAAATACACACAAATAAAAGGATTCCCATATATTTTCCCATATTTTCTGGGTTTTTGTCTTCCCCCCCATTTCCCATATTTTCCCATATTTTCTGGGAAATCGACGATTAATTGTGTGTGTGTCTCTTTCCCTCCTGATAAAGACCGTTCCCCTGCACTCCCCCCCAACCCGTGGCACGACCGCTTCGGCTTCGGGCAGAGACACGGCCGGCAGGAGGTGTCGCACGTCTCGTTGTGGCAGCGCCAGACGCACTTCGGGTGGCACGCGTCCGTGGACGTCCTCCACCGGCAGGGGGCGAGAGCGGGGAAGAATCGGATCGGGTCGACTCGGCATTAGAGGACGTCGAGAGCCTCAGCGCCGTCTGGGGGCCCCCCTGTGGGGGCCACGAGAGGCTTGGAGCACGATGCGCCCGGAAAAACAGCTCGGCGGTGCTCCTGGGCCGCCCTGCCCGACGGCGAAAAGAGGGAGGATGGAGGCGAAGGAGGAGGTGGGGTTCAGAGGGTTTCGATGAAGTCCTGTATCGTGTGTCCCGGCGGGACCCCGGAGTGGGAAAAGGGGGGGAGGTTTGCTCCCCCGCGCTCGCGCCGGGTGCGCGCGAAGCGCCTTCTGCCAACGACGCGCCGTGCCTGCGAGGAGGAGGAGGAAGAGGAGGAAGACCTCCTCATCCTCCTTTCTCCCCCGTCCTAGATCTGATAGCGGTGGTGGATAATTGGCCCATCACCCCAGGCAAGAAGAGCCTTTGGTGCGCGGCGCTCGCGGGGCGCAAGGGAGGGCTACAGCCCCGGGCGCGCAGGACGCTGCCATCGCATCGCTTTCGACCACTTGGAGACCCCAGCGCGCCCGCACCGCAAGCCGCCCCCGCGAGAGGCCACTAGGCGTCCACATGTCGGGCGTTGGCAGAACCAGGTCTAAATGGACCTGGTTTAGTGACATGTACGGGGGGACGCCCCCCCCCCGCCCCGTTCCACTAACTGGAACTGCCGTCATCCGAAAAAAACAGGTTACGGCAGACCTGGTCTAGTGATTCTGGCCACTTTAGGGGCTCCGGGGCCCTACCACTAACGGGGTCCCCTTACCTGGGGTCCTGGCCATACCCGAACATGTGAGCCCTACCCCCACCCCCCATGACTTCTGAGGGGGGGGTGGAGTTCACTCCGCTCGGGAGCTCCCGATCGAAGGGAACCCCCAACACCCCCTCAGAAACATCGTGGGGGTTAGGCGTGGGGCTCACCTGTGGCCACCGAGCCACCCCTGCGCGCAGCCGGCCCGTCTGGGAGGCCTGGAGTGTCGCCGCTGCCGCTGCCCGGGGCGCCCCGGTCCGCCCCCCGCGGGCGCCGCGCCCCCGCCCCCACCGAGAGAGAGAGAAGGACGGGCGACACCCCGCAGGGTGCGGCCCTGCAAGACCGCCGTGACTCCGTCGGCCGCGGAGCCCGTGCTTCGGCGGCGAGCTCAGACGAAGCCAGGACTCGAGCAGGGGGTCGACTGCAGAATCGACTCACCCCAGAAGTGACTTTCTCGTCGAACCTACAGGCACAAATGCGCATGAGGCTCGTAGATCTCTAAACGTTGTGCGCATTTTCATCGATTCGACGAGTCAATTAATCTTGGGGTAAACCAATTCTGTAGTCGATCCCCTAGTCGCAGGACGAGGATAAACCTAGGTGAAAATAAATCCAGAATCTCCGAGATCCGGCGGCTCCGGAGGATGTCTCGGGCGCCGCGGCCTTCTCCGAGCGCTCCGGAACGCTCTGAGAGCGTTCTGGAACGCTCTGGAACGGATGTATCCTCGTCCTTGCCTTAGGTCGGGCATGTCCCCCTACAGGCGGATTTGGGACGAAAATGAAAAGATATACAGACATACTCGAAAATGGTTCAAACATGCTCCAAAAAAATCGTCCCCTGACCATTTCTTGGCTGTTTTGGTATATTCCTCCTGTAGAGGGACGCGCCCGACTTAGTCCTTGCCCCGTCCGACGAGCCGGGGGGGGGGAGAGGCAGAGGGGCGGGCGGGCCGCCTCAAGAGGGCCCGGCGGGCCGGAGTGCTGGGAGAAGCTCCCCGGGCCCTCCCCGAAGGCGCAGCGGAGCACTTCTCTCGGAGGGCCGGAGAGGGCCTCCGCGGAGCGCCGGCGCCCCTTCTGAGAGAAGGCCTGCTCGAGCGTGCTCTCTTCGGGCCCTCAATGGGCGAGCGCGCAACACTGCTCGCAAAAGTGACTCCTCGCCAAGGGCCAGGATCCCCCGCGGAGGGGATCTGCGATACATCACATCAGAGCAGACATGTGCTTTTCGGACCTCTGCGAGCAGGCACCCTGCGAGCAGTGGCACGCGCTCGGTGACTCGAGGCCTCCTCTGCCCCTCTCCTGCAGCCCTCTCATCGCGCCCCCCTTTCGACGCCCCACCCTGCTCCTCCTCGCCCGCCCCCCAGGGCGCGCCACCGAGCCTCGCGAACCGCGAGCACGCCCGCGACCAGCCCCCCCCCCTCTCGCGAGCGGCGAGCAGGCCCACACCCGCGCCCTCCGCGGCCTGGAGGCCGGGGCGCGCTGCCGCGGCTGCGCGGCCGCACGGACGCGCTCCGCGGCCGGGGCACCCCCGAAACGACGCCCCGTGTCCGCGGGGTCGGCCCGCGGGGCCGCGGGTGAGGATGTGTGTGCTCGCCCACGACCCTCGCACCTCCCTCCCATCCTCCCCGGGCTCCCCTCCTTCGCCTCCTCCTCCTCCTCCTCCTCCTCCTCCTCCTCCTCCTCCTCCTCCTCCTCGTCCCCCTCCTCCTCCTCGTCCCCCTCCTCCTCGTCCCCCTCCTCCTCGTCCCCCTCCTCCTCGCCCCCCTCGTCACGTATGACGAGTCGCACCAGCGCCGCCTGTGCACTACAGTGGAGGCCCGACCACAAGAAAACATGATCCGCCGGAAACCCAGCCCTGAGAGCCCAGGGCGCCCATTGACTTTTGGTGCGGGAGCGCCACGCCTTCCACAGCAGAACCCTCGAGACCCTGGACACCCAGGGCACCCTGGAGGCGAGCAGGGTGTTTCTTGGCATGGGCCTCCACTGTACACCCTGCGATCCCTGCGCATTCACAGACGGCGCCGGCGTGAATCGTGACGTGGCTGGCCCCCTCCCGACCTCCCCCCCCCACCCCGGTCACGACCAGTATCGCCAGGGGATCAGAAAGCGGTCTCTTGGCAGAAGTGGAGCGGGTCCTGAAGGAAGGGCAGGACACGACCGTGAGAATGGCCCATCGGCACCACGTGCAGTCCTGGTTGACTCGGAAAGAAGGCCCGATGGGACAGCATCCCACAGCAGAATTCGTAGCCTCAGGGGCCACGTAGCATGGAAGCTTGCCCTGCGCAATCCGCTGGAGGTTCTCATGGCCTTTACGACTGCGCTTTGGAAGGCAAGGCTTAGCGAGATGACAGGGATCAGTTGTCGAGGTCAACCCGCATTCAACGCAGAAACGCGACTGATGAAGGTCCCAGACCCAGACACGATGTTAGGAGGCAACTACTGGGAGATCTTCGTCGAAGGATTAAAGAGAATTAAGCCCCATCGGGGGGCTGCTACGCTGGATTAGGCCGCGGATTTTGTGGGATTAGCCGGATTAAGCCGGAGCAAGCGGGATTAAGCCGGATTTAGCCAGACTTCGGACCAGGGCAAAATCAGAATTTGACATCACAGGAATTGCATCCAAAACGATGGCTGCAATCGACATGAACCAAGCCGATTCAAACGGGCACCGAAAGCAACCGAACCGCGATCCCAGCCATCAGGACAGAAGAGGACAGCATAGGACAGCATAGGACAGCGGCCCGAGGGGAGGCGCTGCGGATAGCCTCCTCCCTGGCAGTGCGCCGTGCCGGAAGAAAGTTGAGCAGCGTGGCGCGGAGCATGCTCGGAAGGAGCCCCGCGAGAAAGAAGAGGAGGAGGCTGGCGAGGAAAGAGGGACGGGCGACGAAAGGGACGGAAGACGGAGGAGGCAGGGGGGTGGTGTTTTGAACATCCCCATCCTTGGAGAGCTCGTTTAAGGGGCGGGGAGCGGGAAGAACCACCTGAGTGACGCCACAGCGACACCTGTGGCACGGGGAGGGGGAGTAGGGAGTAGGGAGGAGGAGGAGCAGGAGGAGGAGGAGGAGGAGGAGGAGGAGGGGAGGAAGAGGAGGAGGAGGAGGAGGAGGAGGAGGAGGGTCCTGAATCCTAGGGCTGCTCCTCGGGACCAGCCTTCCACCCCGAGCCGTGCTGTTTGGCAGGCCAGGGCCCTTGTGGAGGGCCCGGGCACGGCGGCAAGACCTTGGGCGCAGGATCCAGAGGAGGAGGAGGAGGAGGAGGAGGAGGAAGAGGAGGAGGAGCAGGAGGAGGAGGAGGAGGAGCAGGAGGAGAAGGAGGAGGAGCAGGAGGAGGGGCAGGAGGAGGAGGAGGAAGAGGAGGAGGAAGAGGTTGGATGTTGCCAGAGGCGTCCCTGGCCCAGGGTGCCACCATGTGATTTCCAGGGAGGCCCGAGCGGCCTCCCGAGCGCGCCCCACGAGACGCAGAGGGCCGCAGGAGCTCCAGAGCGGCGCGGAAAGCTGGGGGCACCTTGGCGGGCCCCAAGAATATACACCACCACCACGTCGTCTACCCTCCTCCCTCCTCTGCCCTCCTCGTCCTCTCCTCTGTGCTGGTAGAAGGGAGGGGGTGAGGGAGGTGCTGGTGGTGTAGATGCCTGGGCCCCGTAACCCTGGGCGGGAGGCACCTCCCCTGAGATCCGACGCTGCGAAACAATCGCACCCTCGCGAAAAGTCACGCCTGGGGCCTGGGGGGCACTGGACCCCGGCTCCCTGCGGCGTGCTTCGGGCCGGGTCGGTCCGTGAGCGCCCCGGGGCCCGACACGAGGCAGAAACGCCCAGTTCGAACAAGAACCTGCAGCGCCTGGACCTCAGGGCGGGGGCAGGCCAAGCACACCTCTGGCAACCCCCGACGTTGCTTCGTGGCGAACCTCTGCTGGAAGGCTCGATCCCTCGGGCCACAAAACGAGCGGCACCACCCCATCCCTGCGGCCCCACGGGGCAGAGCGTAGACCAGGAAATCTGGCGTGGGCTTCTGCGCGGTGTAAGCTACAGCGTCCAATGGGCCGCAGCGCAACATGGAGGGTCGTAGGTGGGGTGGTGTCGTTCGATTTCTCGTCGAGAAGCCTCGGCGACGGCGCCGCGGCCGGGCGGAGCCGCGACTGCGGAGCGGGCAGCTCATCCATGCGCTCCGCGTCGTCTGTAAAGAAGTCCGCGGGCCTTGGCTGGGCGCCTGAAGCGCGGCGGCGGGCGCGGGGCCTCGACACCCTCGTCGCTCTCGTCGTCCTTGTCGCCGTCGCCGCGTCGTCGTCGTCGTCGTCGTCGTCGTCGTCGTCCTCGAACCCCTGTTCCTCCTCCTGCTCCTCCTCCTCCTCCTTTTCATCCTGCTACTCCTTCTCCTCCTCCTTCCTCCACATCCTGATCATTTTCATGCTCCTCCTCCTCCTCCTCCTCCTCCTCCTCCTCCTCCTCCTCCTCCTCCGTCTCAGCATCGTCCTCATCATCATCAGCAGCATCATCACCATCACCACCACCACCACCACCACCACCACCATCATCATCATCATCATCATCATCATCATCATCATCATCATCACCACCACCTCCACCACCACCATCATCCATCATCATCATCATCATCATCATCATCATCATCATCATCATCATCATCATTATCAGCAGCAGCAGCAGCAAAAGCATCATCATCAGCAGCATCAGCATCAGCATCAGAATCAGCATCATCATCAGCAGCAGCATCATCATAATATTCATCAGCATCATCATCATCATCATCATCATCATCAGCATCATCATCATCATCATCCTCATCAGCATCAGCATTATCATCGCCACCATCAGCATCAGCATCATCATCAGTATCCTCATCATCAGCATCAACATCAGCATCAGCATCATCAGCATCAGCATCAGCATCATCAGCATCAGCATCAGCAGCATCAGCATCATCAGCATCCGCATCAGCATCATCATCATCATCAGCAGCATCAGTATCGTCATCATCATCATCATCATCATCATCAGCATCATCATCATCATCATCATCATCATCATCATCATCATCATCATCATCGTCAGCATCGTCATCAGCATCATCATCAGCATCATCGTCATCAGCATCATCAGCATCAGCATCATCAGCATCATCATCCTCATCATATTCATCAGCATCGTCATCATAATCAACCTTATTATTGGCATCATGCTCATCATCTTCCTCATCCTCCTCCGCCTGCTCCTCCTCCTGCTACTGATCCTTCTGCTCATCCTTCTCTTCTCATATTCTTCTTGACATAAGTATGAACAGTATGCTTAGTATTCATATTATTCGTTTTACTAACACTGTGATTCGCAAAATTAGTGTTGGTAGTGGTCGTCTCATTCATATTATTAGTTTTCGTCGTATTGTTATTATTCCTATTCATGTTATTTCCAGCACTCGTGATATTATCTTTATGGAAAGTAATAACAGTTTTGAGGTACGTATTGTTATCACGAACAGCATGCGCAATATGATTATACTTAGCAGTTATAGTATTATTAACAGTATTCTTCATAGTACGACCAGTACAATTATTCAGATCATGATTCTGAATAGCATTACTAGAGGTTATCCTGCTCCCGCTCCTCCTGCTCCTGCTCCCGTTCCTCCTCTTCCTCCGATCCTCATCCTCCTCCTCCTCCTCCTCCTCCTCCTCCTCCTCCTGCTCCTGCTCCTGCTCCTGCTCCTGCTCCTCCTCCCCATCCTCCTCCTCCTCCTCCTCCTCCTCCTCCTCCTCCTCCTCCTCCTCCTCCTCCTCCTCCTCCTCCTCCTCCTCCTCCTCCTCCCTCCTCCTCCCACCTCCTCCTGTAGAGGGGCACGCCCGACTCCAGAGAAGTCCGGGGCGGTCTCAACACGTCAACCCTCGAGCGCGGAGCACCCCAAGGGCGCCGCCGGAGCCCCGGCGCGCCCCCCACGGCCCTCCGGGTCTCGCGATGGGGTGCTCCAGGAGGCCGTCGCGTCGGCGAGACGCAAGACGGACCAGCCCGAACCCGTACCGCCTCCCTCCTACCCCCCCCCCGCTCAGTAGCAACTCGTGGGAGCCTTCCGTGGCATCTTGCTGGCTCTCGCGAATCGATGCTGCCTGACGCTAGTCGACGATGGTCGACGAGAAAACGACGCTCATCGACGCGAAATCGCCGCCAGTCCACGCTGATTCGACGGGATCTCATCGATTACTAGAAGCTGGCGCACGCGAATGCACTGTAGAGACGGAATTGCGATGGCACGCACGGCCCCCATGATCTGCTACCGAAGAATCCGTACCACCTCCCTCATCCCCTGAGGGGCAACGATGAGGGTAAACTGGCGCACGTGGGGAAACGTCGACCTGGAATCAACGATGCATCGCCAATAGGTCGGCGATGGGCCTCCGACGGTGAACCCGCCCGCTCAAGGGCAGGTTGGGGCTGTCGGGCCCATATCGGCGATCAATGGCAGGGAGGGAGGGAGGGAGGGAGGGAGGGAGGGAGGGAGGGAGGAAGGGAGGGGAGGGGGGGAGGGAGGGAGGGAGGGAGGGAGGGGGGGAGGGAGGGAGGGAGGTGCCTGGTCGCTTCTGGGCCATAACTCGGCTCTCCTGCGGCCGCTCGGGGCGATTCGGGCACCGCCAGCACGCCCTGGGAGAGGCGCGGCTGCTGGGACGCCTCCCGAAGTCGGAAAATCGTCCCCCCCTGTCGTTGCCCCCCATGTGCCTATCCCCCCCTGCGCCTGTCTGGAGGCCTCCTAGATGGGGTCCGAGCAGATGGGGTCGGAGGACCGCGACGTATCGCGGATGCATCGGCGATCCATCGCCGATGCACTGGCGATGAAACGGCGACGTCAGCGATGCGTCGGCGACGTCGGCGTGGAGAAAGTCGTGCCCCACATCGAGCCGCACCCTCGATGCGTCGGCGATGCGGCGCGATCCTCCGACCCCGTCTACTCCGACCCCATCTAAGAGGCGTAGACCTACAGTAGGGGCCCGACCACAAGAAACCTTCCACAAGAAACACAACCCTGAGACCCCAGGACGCCCATGGATTTCTGGTGTGGGAACGTCACGTTTTCCATAGTCCATAGCAATACCATCGAGATTCGGGGGCGACGATATGGGCGAATAGCGGAGGGGCGGGCGTTACAAGCATTTACACGCATTCGCCCAGGAGCCTTTTTTTCGAAGACATAGATCATCGGCGCACCTGGATACATGTTTTGCTCCCCCCTGGGCTGTTCGCCCCTATCGTCGCCTCCGAGAGACCCAAGAAACCCAGGGCACCCTGGAGGCGAGCAGGGTGTTTCTTGGCATGGCCCCCACTGCAGCGCCTCCCCTCCATCCGCCACAAGGCGGCGACGATAGGGGCGAATAGCCCAGGGGTGGGCATTATACGCATTCGCCCAGGAGTCTTTTCGACGACATAGATCATCGGCGCACCTGAATACATGCATTGTTCCCCCCTGGGCTGTTCGCCCCTATCGTCGTCTCCGAGAGACCCGAGAAGCCCAGGGCACGCTGGAGGCGAGCAGGGTGCCTCTTGGCATGGGCCCCCACTGCAGTGCCTCCCCCCCGTCTCAGAGGCGACGACAGGGGCGAATGGCCCAGGGAGAGCAATACATGTATTCAGGTGCGCCGATGATCTACGAAAAATGGCTCCCGGGCGAATACGTGTAATGCCCGCCCCTGGGCTATTCGCCCTTACCGTCGCCGCTGCGGGACGGGAAAATGACCACAGCCACTGCTTCTTGTTTGCGCCGCCTTCCAGCCGGCCGGAAAAGAGGCAGTGGCTGTGGTCATTTCCCTGGTACCAAGCTCAACGAAAATGACCACAGCCACTGCATTGTTTCTGCTGGCTGGAAGGCGGCAACAAAAGAAAAGCAATGGCTGTGGTCGTTTTCACCACGTCCCGTAGCCGCCGACCCTCCGCCACCGGGGGCCCAGGCGGGCCATCGGTGGCCGCGGCCCCCGGCGCAGCGGCCAGCAGCGCCCCCGCCAGCACGCGGGCCCACGCGCCCAGCAGCGGCGGCTTCATCCGCGCGGCGCGGGCGCGCGGCCACCGCCGCGGCCTCCGCGGGGCCGCTTGCGGGACGGCGACGACGACGACGACGACGACGACGACGACGACGACGACGACGCCGACGACGGCGGTCTGGCGGCGGCGACGACGACGGCGGCGACGAGGAAGGCGGCGGCGACGACGGCGACGGCGACGGCGACGGCGGCGACCCCCGAAATCCGAAAGTCGCAATGTGTTCCATACCTTGCATTTGCGCCCAGTCTCGGGCCCTGGGGCCATCACAGATCCACCCAGGCTCAGGAAATGCCGTGGGGAGATACGGTCTGGAGCAGCGGATCGATCTGGCCGTGGCGGCGAGCACCCCCCAGCAGGGCGACGGGATTTAGACGTATCCGCTGCCCAATCCTGGCCCATCCTGGGCCCAGGAGCGGTGTGTAAGCCCTCCTGGCTTGGCCAGGGATGCATCTACACCGCTCCTGGGCCCAGCATGGGTCAGGCCTCGAGCAGTGGATACAGTAGGAGCTCGATCGTAAGAAACCTTCCACAAGAAGCAAAACCCTGAGACCCCATGTCGCCCATTGATTTTGATGTGGGAACGTCACGCTTTCCATAGCCAAAACCACCGAAACCCAAGAAACCCAGGGCACCCTGGAGGCAACCAGGGTGTTTGTTGGCATGGGTCCCAATTGCATGTACAGATTCCGTGGCCCTACCCCAGGAGGCCCAGAAAAGGACCAGCATCGGGGAAGCAGGAGAGGCCGACCTAATCTCGACTGAGCTCTGAGATGCCGTGCGCGAGATGGTCCGGCGCGTTTCGCCTGAGACACTCTCGCAACTCTGAGTTTTGAGATTTCGCGCAAGAGGTGGTCCAGCCCATTTCGCCTAAGACATCCTCGAAACTCTAGGCTCTGAGATGCCGCGCACGAGGTGGTCCGGCCCGTTTCGCCTGAGACATCCTCCAAACTCTGAGCCCTGATATGCCGTGCGCGAGGTGGTCCAGCCCGTTTTGCCGGAGACATCCTCGCAACTCTGCGCTCTCTGATGCAGCGCGAGAGGTGGCCCGGCCCGTTTCGCTTCAGACATCCTCCGAACTCTGAGCCCCGAGCGGCCGCCCAAGGGGTGGCCTGGCCCGTTTCACTCGAGACATCCTCGCACTTTTGCAATCCGAGATGCCGCGCGAGAGGTGGTCCAGCCCGTTTCGTCTGAGACGTCCTCGCAACTCTGAGCTCTGAGATGCCGCGCGCGAGGTGGTCTGGCCCATTTCGCCTGAGACATCCTCGCAACTCTGAGCTCTGAGCTGCCGCGCCAGAGGTGGTCCAGCCCATTTCGCCTGAGATTTCCTCGCAACTCTGACCTCGGAGATGCCGCGCGCGACGTGGTCCAGCCCGTTTCGCCTGAGACATCCTCGCAACTCTGAGCTCTGAGATGCCCTGCGCGAGGTGGTCCGGCCCGTCTCGCCTGAGACATCCTCGCAACTCTGAGCTCTGAGATGCCGTGCGCAAGGTGGCCCGGCTTATTTCGCACAAGAAATTCTAGCAACTCTGAGCTCCCAAATGCCGCGCAAGAGGTGGTCCAGCCTGGGGGCCCAGAAGACCACATGTTACATATCCTCCCTGTGACCCTGGGAGCCCCAGGAAGCGCCCGAGAGCTCCAGGAGGCCGCAGGACGCCCAGGACAGGCCCCAGGGGTCCCCAGGAGATTCCCAGGAGGCTCCCAGAAGGCCCCAGGAGGCCCCCTATCAGAACGTGTCAAGTAAATACACATCCGGTGTCGATTCTTTGATTTTTCCACATGTTGGATATCCCACCCGGGAGCCCCAAGAGGCTTCAGGAAGCCCCAGGTGGAGTCCAGGAGGCCACAGGAGGCCCAGGAGGAAGCCCCAGGAGGTCCCCAGGAGGCCACAGGAGGCCCCAGGAGGCCCCGGCAACTCGGAGCTCTGAGACGTCGCGCTCGAGGTGGTCCGGCCCGTTTCGCCTGAGACTTCCTCGCAGCAGGTTTCGCCCGAGACATCGTCGCAACTCTGGGGTCCGAGATGCCGCGCGCGAGGTGGTCCAGCCCGTTAGGCTGAAGACATCCTCGCAATTCTGGGCTCCGAGATGCCGTTCGGGATGAAGAGGAGGAGGAGGACGAGGAGGAGGAGGAGGAGGAGGAGGAGGAGGAGGAGGAGATGGAAGGGAGAAGGAGGAGGAGGAGGATGTGGATGAGGGAGCAGGCAGGAGGAGTGGAAGGAGGAGGAGGAGGGAGAAGGAAGGGAGTTGCAGGAGAGGACCTAACGTGAAGCGAATGTGACGTGGACTTGTCAGATCGCGTGCGAGAGGTTGTCTGGCTCGTTTCGTTTGAGACATCCTTCCAGTACTGAGCTCCAAGATGTCGCTCGCGAGGTGGTCCGGCCCGTTTCGCTTGAGCCATCCTCACACTGCGAAGCTCGAAAATGTTGCGCGCGAGACGATATGGCCCGTTCTGCCTGAGACGTTTCGTAGCACAGGGGCTCCAATCACAACCTCTCTCATTCCTTCTCCCGCCTCCCTCTTCCCGCTTCCCGCCTGGCTCTTCTTCCCTCCTCCCTCCTCCCGCCTCCCGCCTCCCGCTGCTGCGCCTCTGCCTCCGCCTCCCCGTCCCCGCCGTCGTCGTTTCTGCCGCCTCAGCATCCGTCATGCGCGCCCTGTTTCCCGCCCTCCCCAGGCATCCGACGTCACGATTTTCTTTTGAGACGTGCGCCGCGTACCTCTCGATATCATCCCTGGGGGAACCATCACGACATGCCACCCCGCTTCCGCGCCCTCCCCCGCTTCCTCTTACAGTTGCTTCCGAGTTCACAGCATGGCGGTGGAGCCTCTCACAGTGCCGACCCGACAGCTTACTCGTCGACCAGGTGCGAGAGAGTACGACACCTTCCAGCGTCAGCTTCCTGATAGGCATGCGTCACACAAGCTATCGTGTAAACATCATGTGCAAACATCATGCTATCATGTTCTAAAATGCCATGCCAGCCCGCACTGGACGGGCACGCAATCGACCTTTTGGAGACCCCAGTGGGCTTAGAAACCCTGCTTGGGGATACTGCACTCCAGCTATAACTGCTACTATTTTTGAATATTCGGGAGCGGCCAAGAGGGGGGTGTCCAAGAGGGGGGGGGTGCAAATCATGACCGGCGGCATGTGCGCGGCCCAGCGGGCGGGCCAGGGACGTACTGAAATAAGAAGGGGCGCCATGAAATCTGGGGAAACATCATGGCCCACGCCATGATATCCCCCCCCCCCTAGTCATCACCCCCCTCTCTTCCGCCCCCGAAACATGCCTCCTGTGGAGGGACAGGCCCGACTCAACGCCAGGGCGGCCGAGCAGGCGCAGCAGCGGTGCCCTCGCCCCGGGGACGGCCCCCCCCCCCCCCCCGGAGGGAGGGCGAGGGGCGCAGCCAGCGGGGGCCAGGGGACGAAGGGGGGCACTCGGGGGGGGGGCGAGGGAGAGGAGGGGGAGGGAGGCCAGCGAGGCCGGGCATCTGAAGGGGCCCCAGGACACACAAATACATGCACACAGAGAAGAAGACCCCCCAGATTGTCCTGTGATTTTTTCTGGGTTTTTGTCTTCCCCCCCACTTCCCATATTCTCCCATATGTTCTGGGAATCGACGATTCATTGTGTCTGTGTGTTTTCTCCCCTCCTGAGTATCGAGGGTTGGGGGCCATACGTGCTGAATGGCACGCGAGCAGATGGGAGCGAACAAGCTGAAAAGGATGGAACCCTCGCTCTGGAAGAAGGATCGTTGCGAATCCCCCCTCCCACCCGTGAGCACTGCGCTTGTCAATTCAAGTGCCCCCTCTCGGGGCTCGCACCCTGTTTTTCTCTGATGGGACGATGGGGGTAGGGGGAAGAGGTGGGAAAGGGGAAAGCAAGGATGGCTTCATGCCGCGGCATGTGGCCGGGAAAAGGGAGGATGGGAGCCAGCGATGGCCAGAGAAGGGAAGCATTCGAAGGCCCCCGAGGTGTTTGGGAGATTGTTGAAGTTGCTGGAAATTCCTGGAGTTTGGTTGCGGGTTGCCAAGAGTTTGGGTGGAGGAAAAGGGAGGAAGAGGAGGAGGCGAGGAGGAAGAGGAGGGCCACTATAAACCAAAGACTTATTAACGATGTTACGATAAACCCTCCCTCAAAGCTCCCTCCCCATAGACCCCTAGTTTCACTCAGCGAAAATCCTCGTTGAAAATAACCGTTTAAAGTCCTGAACTGCGCCAGAACGCCGTTCCTGGGACTTCAACGCCGCGAATCACCGATATTGTTACGTCTTGACGATCCTAACTCGTGCCGAAACACCATTCCTGGGACTCCAACACCTCTACTAAACAGAACGATTGCGCCCTGACCATCCCGACTCATTCCGAAACACTGCTCTTGGTACGTTAAACCTGAGAAACAATGAAACTCTCGCAATGTTTGTTAAACGAATTCAAATGTGAAGACCACCCGCCCTCAAGTCATGAAACTCTGAATAGTGTAACAACGAGTGCGCGCGGCGCTAAATCTAAGGCGAGAGCCACATGTTGAAAACCACCCGACCTCACTTCGCGAAACCCTATAACCTTTGAAGACGAATATGCGCGGCGCAAAGGCGAGAATCACATATTGAATACAAACCCACTTCAACCCGTGAAACTTTTGCAACTGATTGAAATGAATGCGCGCATCGCTGAGGCGATAGCCACATTCTGTATTTCTGATTTCCCAACCTTCCTGTGGTGTTGGGTCGTCGTTTTGAAGAGACAGCGCCCCGCGTTCTCCTCCTCCACTTCCTCATCCCCCTCCTCCCTCCTCCTCCTTCCTCCCCCTCCTCCCTGCGCTTCGCACACCCAATACAGCGCTTCGTGGCCCCATAGGGAACCCCACCGAATGTCCAAGTAGTACCGTCCGCATGCGTCCCGCACACCCAGTACAGCGTTTCGTGGCCCTCCTGCTCCTCCTCCCTGCGTTTCACCCACCCAGTGCAGTGCTTCGTGGCCCCATAGGGAACCCCACCGAAGGTCCCAGCGTTACCGTCCGCATGCGTCCCACACACCCAGTACAACGTTTCGTGGCCCCATAGGGAACCCCACCGAAGGTCCCAGCGCTGCCGTCCGCATGCGTCCCGCACACCCGGTACAGCGCTTCGTGACCACATAGGGAACCCCACCGAAGGTCCCAGCGCTTCCGTCCGCATGCGTCCCGCACACCCAGTACAGCGCTTCGTGGACCCATAGGAAGCCCCACCGAACGTCCCAGTGCTTCCGTCCGCATGCGTCCCGCACACCCAGTACAGCGCTTCGTGGCCCCACAGGGAGCTCCACCGAAGCCCCCAGTGGGACCGTCCGCATGCGTCCCGAAACACCCAAATTGGCATTTTCATCCACCCAGTACAGCGCTTCGTGGCCCCATTTGGATCTCCACCGAACGCCCCAATGCCACCGTCCGCATGCGTCCCGAAAACCCAATGTGGCATTTCCATCCACCCAGTGCAACGCTTCGTGGCCCCATCAGGAGCTCCACCGAAGCCCCCAGCGGGACCGTCCGCATGAGTCCCGAAACACCCAATGTGGCATTTTTCACCTACCCAGTACAACGCTTCGTGGCCCCATAGAAATGTTCCACCTAAGCCCCCAACGGGACCGTCCGCATGCGTCCCAAAGCTCAATTTGGCATTTTCGCCCACCCAGCACAGCGCTTCGTGGCGTTGTAGGGAACTCCACCGAAACCCCACGTGGGACCGTCCGCATGCGTCACGGAAACCAAATTTGGCATTTTCACCCACCCAATACAGCGCTTCGTGGCCCGTAAGGAACTCCACCGAAGCCCCCCGTGGGACCGTCCGCATGCGCCCCGGAAACCCAGTTTGGCACACCAACCACCCAGCACAGCGTTCCCCCCCACCCAATGCAGCGCTCCGTGGCTCCATAGGGAGCTTCACCGAAAAGATATTCACAATTGCGGTACCCACAACTGCATATGGTTGGGTCTTTCGCTTGGATGATTTGTTTAGCACATGATTAAGACGAGGTCGCGCGGCGCTAAGGCGAGAGCAACATGCTGGAAGCGGCCCGCCATCCATCGGTGAAACGGTTGCCAATGTTTAAGCAAGAGGCTCATAAATGGTCAGGACGTCTCAGGCGAACCGCCCAACCCGCCCTTCCTTCTGGCCTCGGTGTGCAACAGGGAGAAATTGTTCATGAGGACAAGAATGGAGATGAACAACGACGACGACAAGGGGAAAGAAGAGAGGACGAGGAGACAAAGGCATGCGCATATGAAAGAAACGACGTTCGAATCTACTGCTGAGTCGCAGCTGCCTGCCCCAGAAATCCCTTCAACATGACTGCACCATAGGTCACCATAGATGGAGACGGTGCTGCAGGTGTCCGCAACAGCGACGAATAGAGTGTCGCAAAAGCATCAAAGAGAATGACAAAGCCTGAATGCAAGACCACTGTACCAGATGTGGCTCTAGCAAAGGTGCGTGCACCAGCGGTAGCTGCGCCAGTCGTGACTGCGACAGCCTCGAGAAGGTTTTCTCCAAACGCCGCCACGCACGCCCATGCCGACCCGCAGCGTGCCGGGAACGTCCACGCCCATGCCACCCGCCATTCTGCCGCGAAAAGTCGTGCGACACGTGGACCGCACTGGCCATTCCTGCCGCCGTGCCACCACTTCTGCCTGCACACATAGACCACCCACGACGTGTGTGAATGTTAAGCATTCCGTGCTGGAGAGCACGTGGCACATCCCACCGTGTCTTGAAGCCGCATGGCGACCACGACGGATGGTGCCCAGCCGCACAGACATTCGCTGACGTTTCGCTCCGCGAGCCTCGTGAAGGCTTCGCGGAGCCGACCGAACCAGGCAACTTGTGAGGACGTGCCAAGCGGAACGGGGCCAAGACCGGGCGAAGCCAGAGCGAAGCCAGGCGCAAATGTTGAGGACGCCTCGCGCGAAACGAGGCCCAAACCAGGCCAAACCAGGGCCAAACCAAGCACATGTTGAGGACTTCGCAGGCGAAGCCGGGCCCGAACCAGGCAAATCCAGGGGCCAAACCAAGCAAATGCTGGGGATGTCTCAGGCTGGGCGCTCGGCAAAGCCCGGCCACACCGGGCCAAGACAAGGGCCAAGCCGCACAGAGTTCGAGGACGTCCCAAGCAGAATCGCCCAAACCAGGCTCCATCCACCCTCCCTGGATCACCCCAGGCTCCCCCCCGGGAGGTTGAAGCCCACTTAGAATTTTATGAGGGGGCGTTTGGACCGCGCGGCCGCTGCTGCGGACGGGATTGGGCCCAGAAGCCTTCTATTGTCTTTCGGGTGCTGTTGGGGCCGTAGTGTGGCGTTCGGAGAAATACTTCCGAACCTGTAGGGTGTACCGAAGACCAAATTAAAGAAAAGAACATGCGGTGTTCATGCCGCACCGAGCACTGACCGCACTTTAAGCCTTCTTCCTCCAACTAGCAGCCTTCTTCCTCTTCCGTGTGGACGCACTCGTCTTAGAGAAAGACTTTCTGACAGCCGTCTCTTGTCCTTCATGCTTGACTACTGCCTTGCCGATGGGTTAACCGACAGATTTGCTTAGGATGTCCTTTACTATTTGGCCTTGCTAGCTTGATGTCCGCCGGCCCCCTTGTGGGGCCACCAGGCTGCGAGGCACGGGTTCGCAGTTTCCAGAACCAGTTGTAGCTTGTAGTTTCCAGTGTTACAGTTCTGCTTCTTGCTGGTTACTGTAACTAGTTGACTTCTTGCTGGTTACTGTAACTAGTTGATTGACCGCGCGAGGGGGGGAGGCCCAAACGGGATTTTTAGCACCCCCTGAGCGCGTTGTCTGAATTGCTGGGGGGGCTCGAAATCGACACCCCTCACGCAGATCCGCGGGGTCAGGGTCCAAAAACACAGGGATTTGCCACATTTCTGAAATTCGGTGCCACCCCTCACGCAGATCCGCGGGGTCAGGGTCCAAAAACACATGGGATTTGCCACATTTCTGAAATTCGGTGCCACCCCTCACGCAGATCCGCGGGGTCAGGGTCCAAAAACACAGGGGATTTGCCACATTTCTGAAATTCGGTGCCACCCCTCACGCAGATCCGCGGGGTCAGGGTCCAAAAACACATGGGATTTGCCACATTTCTGAAATTCGGTGCCACCCCTCACGCAGATCCGCGGGGTCAGGGTCCAAAAACACATGGGATTTGCCACATTTCTGAAATTCGGTGCCACCCCTCACGCAGATCCGCGGGGTCAGGGTCCAAAAACACATGGGATTTGCCACATTTCTGAAATTCGGTGCCACCCCTCACGCAGATCCGCGGGGTCAGGGTCCAAAAACACATGGGATTTGCCACATTTCTGAAATTCGGTGCCACCCCTCACGCAGATCCGCGGGGTCAGGGTCCAAAAACACATGGGATTTGCCACATTTCTGAAATTCGGTGCCACCCCTCACGCAGATCCGCGGGGTCAGGGTCCAAAAACACATGGGATTTGCCACATTTCTGAAATTCGGTGCCACCCCTCACGCAGATCCGCGGGGTCAGGGTCCAAAAACACAGGGGATTTGCCACATTTCTGAAATTCGGTGCCACCCTTCACGCACATCCATCGCAAGGCGTGGTAACCCAAACTGCGAGAACTCCCTCGGCCCTTTAATCGCAAGGTGTGGTAACCAAGCCCGTAAACCATACACGTCTTACCAATCGCCAGGTGTGGTAACCCCTCTTGTGATCAGTTGGTTTTGCTGATTGCGAATCGGCTTCGCATGAAGTTTCGATACTGCTTCACGACAGCGCCAAGACCTCATGACTTAGCTCTTCCATGGCCCATTCTCCGAGAGAGGGGGCCGGCGGCAGGGGGCGAAGCCCTTACGGATATAGATCGCTTGATTGTATGCACGCAGCCTGCGCTTCACGCCTGTAGCTTGATCTATATGCTCTCACGCGCTTTCCGTTGCGATTGCGCATGCCCCTCTGCATGCATGCACGTACGCTTGCCTGCTTATCTGCATTTCATCCCCGCACTCGTGCTTTGTCAGGGGAGAAAGAATAAGGACGGAGGAAGGAGAAGTGTTGTCACACATGCGCTCTCGTTCCAAAATGTTGGCGAAATCTCTTCAGCGAGGGCGGAGACGCATGCCCCTCAAAAGCGTGATATGGCGTCACGCCACATGCTGTGGAGTCAAGAGAATTCCTCTGCCATGGTGGCGTGAGAGATGTATTTAGATCTATCTAAACAAATCTCTCTGAAAAGATCTGCCAACTCATCAAGACATGTGTGAGACGGAACTTATGTTCAAAGTAGATAGCGCGAGCTCGGGTGCTCAGGCAATAAGATTCCTGATCTTTTGCACCGCCGCCTGAACATCTGCAGGCTGCCCGATAATAATTGCGGGCAAGCCATCGTCCAGCATCACTCTCGTTCCCGTGCTGGACTGGATCTGCTGTATAGTGGCGCCCTTCTTGCCAATGACTCGGCCCCTCCTTGCCTGAGGCACGGGAACCGTTGCGCTGATTGCGCCAGTCTCGTTGAAGCAAGGATCGAGGTTGAAGTCGCGAAACTTCTTCTTGCTCTGATCTAAGGCAACGCGGTCGGACAGATTCACGAATGTATCGATGCGGGCCGCAGTCACGGAGAGAACGAACTCGTCGAGCTTGGCGGCCTTCGCCCCGTCGGCAAACATCCAATGGCGCCGCATGCCGATCAAGAATTTGATGTCTGCTGCCGCGTACTCCACCAAGGCTGGCAGCAGCGGCCGGCGCTTCCACACCTGGTAGTCGCCCCCCAACTCCGGAGCGAACAGGCGCACCCCGGCCTCCTTCCCCGCGTCCAGCCTCTCGCTCTCCGCGGAGCCGAGCACGCCAAACTCCTGCAGGAAGAGGCCCTGCACCTTCTTGAGGCCCTGGAGGTAGCGGTCGTCCGGATGCTGGAAGCGCGTGTGCCACAGCACCTGGACGTCGTACGCACGCTTCACCTGGGGCAAGGCCAAGCCCCCTCTGCATCCCTGCTGCCGGCCAGCTCGGCGACAAGCTCCTGGTCACGATTCGGGCCGCGAGAATCGAACTCGAGTGAGAAACGCACACCCGGACCGAAAGCCCTCCGCGAGACACAGCTGAGCAGCCTGGCCCGGCCGCCGCGCGCAGCATGGGGAGTTGCCCCGATCTCGCCTTGATGCCGAATTGATGGTGCAGGGCGTCGTTGTCTGAGCGCACGTCGTAGAACCCGCCATCGTGCCCCGAGGCACGAGTTGGACCTACATCAGACCCCCTTGGAGACCTCGGCCCTCTGCCCTGAGGTCCGAAGGACCCGGACCCCAGAATTCTCAGATCTCCCCAGGGCGTGGCGCAGCTCTCCCGAGGCTTGCCGCGTCTTGTCGCGCGGCGTCGGGCCACGAGGAGGAGCCAAAAAACGGGCCAATGGGCCCAAAAAGGCCCCCAAGACTGTCCACGAGAGCCTCGAGTCGCCGAAACGTCGCTCCAAGACGCCCAAGATGGCCTCAAGACGGCCCGAGTGGCCCCAAAGACGCTCCAAGAGAGCCCTAAGAGCGTCCAAGAGGGCCGCAAGAGGTAAAAATGATTGCCCCTAGGTTCTTGCAAGACAAACGCTTTCGGCCTTCCACCGCTCCAAGACAGCCCAAGAGGCCCCCAAGATGACCAAAAGACTGTCCAAGAGGCCCCCAAGAGGACTCCAAGACGGTCCAAGAGGGCCCCAAGACGGCCCAAGAGGCCTCAGAGACGGCCCAAGAGGCCCCCCGAGACCGCCAGCAGGCACCATAATTAGAGGACCCCAAGAGGCCCCAGGAAACCCCCAAGAGGCCCAAAAGAAGCCCCAAGAGGCCCCAAAACGGCCCCAAGAGGTCTCAAAGCTGCCTCCAAGGGGCTCCTGAGATGCACTCCAGGAGGCCTCAAGAGGCATCCAGGAGGACTCCGACACCCAAAACCCAGAGGCACGGTGGCGGGTTGGGACGAAGGCGAATAGATCCGCCGCCCCTGTTGGTTTCTCACATGGTGGGCACCTGGCGTGTTCAGCGCCCGATGGTTTTTGATTGCACTCAAGACTCTCCTCCTGGGGCTTCGGCCCAGGGCGCCGAGTCATCCGGAAAGCTGCTCCAGACCCGGTTGCCATGGTTTTTTCTGCTACATGTGGTTTCAACAAGACGGCCCAGGAGAGTCCAAAATGCCTCCAAGTTCGCCCAAGAAGCCTCCAACACGGCCTAAGACGACCCCAAGGGCCCCAAAGAGGCCTCCGAGACGGCCCAAGAGGGCTCCAAGAGTTCCTCCAGGAGGGCCCCAAGAGGCAAAATCATGAATTGTCTTTCGGTTTTCAATGGACTTTGCTCTTTGCTCTTTTTCGGCCTTCCGACAGCCTAAAACGGCCCAAGAGGCACCCAAAATTGCCCCAAGATCGCCGAAGAGGCCTCCAAGATGGCCCCCAGGACGACCCATGAAGGTCCCAAGACGGCTCCCGAAAGGCCCTAAGACGGCCCAGGATGGCCGTGGAGACGGCCCCGAAGCGCCCCAAGAGGGCCCCGAAACAGCCCAAAGAAACACCCAGGACGGCGTCAGACGGGCTAGGAACGCTGTAAGACGGCCAAAAAGGTCCCCAAGGAGCCTCCAAAGGCCAGGAAGCTCCCAGGAGGCCCCAGAAAAGACCCAAAAAGCTCCCGAAAGGTCTCCTCGTCCTTCTTCTCATCCTCCTTTTCCCTCCATCTGTCTCCTCATCCTCCTCTTCCTCCCCCGCGTGTTCCCCGAAGGGCTTCCACCACGGCTGGGGGAAAGCATGGTTCAATAGCGTGGCCAAACTTTGCCCAAGCGTTTGGGCACACAGGCGTATCCTGAACGGCAGGGCGCGGCGATGATTCGCCGCAGGCGTCTTCGATGAGCCACCCCCTGCGCTTGCCACAGGGGTGCACGGCGTGCCAAACGTTCGCTAGTTGTTTATCTGTCTTGAAAGTATATGTACATCGATGTATATCATACCAAAGAAAATGAGTGTTTAAGCATATTTAGATAACAAAAAACTTCGGCCCAACCCGCCAGCCACCCCGAAGGACGCGCAACGACCCACAAGGACCCACAATGAATTGGAAAACCGGAAAACGTGCCTCCACGAGGGCCCAGTGATTTTCCCGGGTCATCGGCCTTTCTGCTCCAGACGGCCCTAAGAGTGCCTCCAAGACGGCTTGATGGCCTCCAGGACAGCTACGATGGCCCCAAAAGAGCCCAATATGGCACCAAGATGTCTCCAAGACGGGCCGAGATGCCCCCAAGATGAGCCAAGAGGCCCAACAGGGAGGCCCGTGTTTGTCAGTTTCCCGACGGCCCAAGACGGCCCCAGAGGCCACCAAGGTGGCCCAAGGAGCGCCCAGGAGGCCTCAGAGATGGCTCCAAGGACGGCCCAGAAAGGCCCCCGAGATCGCCCCGGGAGGACCCCAAGACGGCCCAGCAGACCTCCGAGACGCCCAGGCTGGCCTCCGAAACGGCCCCGAAGCGCCCCTGAGGGGGCCCCGCGTCGGCCCAGAGAGGCCACCTGGACGGTCTCCAACGGCGCCCGAAGGCCCGGAGCACTCTCGGACAGCCCAAGGGCCTCCCAAGGAGCCTCCGAAGGCCCCCAAGAGGCCCCAAGGAGGTCCCCAAGAGGCCTTCAAGAGGCCCCCAGGAAGCTCCCGGGAGGCCCCAAGAGTGCCCCAAGGGGCTCCCGAGAGGTCTCCTCCTCCTCCTCCTCCTCCTCCTCCTCCTTCTCCTCCCATCCTCCTCCTCCTCCTCCCTCCTCCTCCTCCTCCTCCTCCTCCTCCTCCTCCTCCTCCTCCTCCTCCTCCTCCTCCTGCTCCTCCTCCTGCTCCTCCTCCTCTCATCATCATCAGCACAGCTCAGCATCATCAGCACATCAGCTCAGCATCAGCATCACATCAGCATCAGCATCAGCATCATCAGCATCAGCATCATCATCATCAGCATCATCATCATCACACATCATCATCATCATCATCATCACATCATCATCATCATCATCAGCATCATCACATCATCATCATCATCATCATCCATCATCATCAGCATCATGCATCATCATCATCATCATCATCATCATCATCATCATCATCATCATCATCATCATCATCATCATCATCATCATCATCATCATCATCATCATCATCATCATCATCATCATCCTCATCCTCATCCTCATCCTCATCCTCATCCTCATCCTCATCCTCATCATCATCATCATCAGCAGCAGCAGCAGCAGCATCAGCATCAGCATCATCAGCATCAGCGTCATCAGCGTCAGCATCATCGTCAGCATCATCATCAGCATCATCATCAGCAGCAGCATCAGCATCATCATCCGCAGCAGCAGCATCATCACCGTCATCGTCATCGTCACCGTCATCATCATCATCAGCAGCATCATCATCATAATCAGCAGCAGCAGCAGCATAATCATCATCATCATCATCATCAGCAGCAGCAGCAGCATCAGCATCAGCATCATCAGCAGCATCATCATCATCATCATCAGCGCCAGCATTATCAGCATCAGCAGAATCCTCATCATCATCAGCAACAGCATCATCAGCAGCAACAGCATCAGCATCATCATCGTCAGCATCATCGTCAGCATCATCATCAGCAGCAACAGCATCATCAACAGCATCAGCATCAGCATCATCAGCGTGATCATCACCAGCATCATCATCAGCATCATCATAATCATCATCAGCAGCTGCAGCATCATCATCAGCATCAGAATCAGCATCAGCATCATCATCAGCATCATCATCCTTTCCTCTTAATCAGGGAGATCTCCTCCCTGTCGCACCCCGATACTGGCCGAAAGGGCGGGCCAGGCGTTGCGCCGGAGACTTCCATGATCCTGAAGATTGACATGTGCAAGAGCTTCACGGATGGAGGGCGGTCCGCTTTCAAAATGTGGCTCTCGCCTTAGCGCAGCGCAGACTCGTTTCAAAAGTTTGCAAGAGCTTCGCGGATGGAGGGCGGCCCGATTTCAAAGTGTGGCTCTCGCCTTAGCGCCGCGCACATTCGTTTAAAGTGTGCATCAGTTTCACGGATGGAGGGCGGTTCCTTTTCAAGATGTAGCTCTGGCCTCAGCGCCGCGTACATTCGCCTTGAGAGTTTGCAAGAGCTTCAAGCATTATCATGGTTAGCGTCCCAGAAATGGTGTTGTGGCTTCATGTCGGAACGTCAGGGCGCCACCGTCACGTTCATTCGCGGTGAAGTCCCAAGAGCGGTGTTCTGGCACGATTCGGGATCGTCAAGACACAACAGTAGTGGTGATGTGCGGCATTGAAGTCCCAGGGACGGCGTTATGGCACAATTCCAAATGTCCAAACGGTTGACTTCTAACAGGGCATTTCCATCAGAGAAAATGAATCCGTGTAGGAGCCTATGGAGAGGGAACTTGTAGAGAGGGTTTATTGCAATATCGTTGATGAGTCTTGGGTTTACACTGGTCCTCCTCCTCCTCCTCCTCCTCCTCCTCCTCCTCCTTGTTCATCCATCTCCTCCTCCCTTTCCTCCCCCACAACGGATGGGGGAACACGTAGTCCGACATTAACAGCGTTCTGGCCGCAACGTTTCACAAGACGCTCCTGGGAGCCTTTCGTAATCCCCTTTGTGGCCACGGTGGCTCCTCCAGTGGCCACCAGTGGCCCCCCGCGAGCCTCGAGCGGTCTCCAGTGGCTCCTCCAGTGGCCACCCCGTGGCCACTCCGTGGCCCCCTATGGCCTCCAGTTGCGCCAGCCAACGACTGCGGACCACTGGAGGCGCAGGAAAGCCAGACTGACTGACAGTGAAAGGCTCCCAAGATCGTCTTCTGAACAACGTTCGGCCACACAGGCGCGTCCAAAGGCAGGGGGCGATTCGCCGTAGGCGTCTAAGATGCGCCACCCCCTGTAGCTTGCCACAAGGGTGCACAGCGTGCCAGATGTTCGATAGTTGTGGGCGGTATTGTTTAATCACTTCTAGAGGATATTTGGTCAAAACCGCCGGCCACCCGGAAAGGACCTCAATGTACAAAAACAAATCGCCCGAAGACGGCCAAGATGGCCCAAGATAGCCGCCAAGATGCCTTCAAGGCGGCCCATGGCCCAAGACGGCCACCAAGACGGTCCCAAGACGCCTCCGAGACGGCCCAGATGGCCCCAAGACGGCCCAAGATGTCCTCCAGACGGCCCAGGAGGCCCACTAGACCCCACAAGAGAACTCCGAAGGGACCTCCACGAGGCCAAAATCCTGAATCGCCCATGGATCGTTCAATGAATTTGGCGCTCTCGCAGTTTCGGGCCTCCGACGCTCCAAAGACGCGCCCACGGGCCCCCGAGATGGGCCCCAAGACGGCTCGGCAGGCCGCAGAGAGGCCCGCGAGAGGGCTCGCCAAGGCCCCGAGGCAGCCCAAGAGGCCCCCCCCACCCAAAAAAGTCGGCCCCCCCCCACCCAAGAGACCTCCAAGACGGCCCTAAAGCGCCTCAACAAGGACCCACGACTGCCCGGGGAGGGCCCCAGACGGCCTCCGAAGGCCCAAGACAGCCCCCCTAAGAGGCCCCCAAGACGTCCTCCAAGAGATGGCCCAAGGTGGCCTCAAGATCGCCCAAGACGTCCCGAGAGGCCTCTAAGCTCTAAGACGACCTCGAGGATGGCCAAAGAATGCAACAAATCCTTGATGGTCCTTAGCTTGTTAACGGACTTGGTCGTTTGCTCAGTTTCGGCGTTCCGACGGCTCAAGACGGCCCCCAATGCCGCCAAGATGGCCCCAAGAACGCCCAAGAGGCCTCCGAGATGGCTTCCTGACGGCCCAAGAGGCCCCCAATGACGGCCCCAAGAGGACCCAATGACGGCCCAGGAGACCTCCAAGACGCCCACGATGGCCTCCAAGACGGCACTCGGACGGCCAACGAAGAGCCTCCCAGGGAGCCTCCAAAGGCAAGAGGCCCAAGGAAGCCCACCAGAGGCGAAGGCCCAAGAAGTGCCCCAAGAGGCTCCCGAGAGGCCTCCTCCTCCTCCTCCTCCTCCTCCTCCTCCTCCTCCTCCTCCTCCGCCTCGTCCTCCCCCTCGTCCTCCTCCTCGTCCTCGTCCTCCTCCTTCTCCTTCTCATCCTCATCCTCCTTCTTCTCCTCCCCCTCCTCCTCCTCCTCCTCCTCCTCCTCCTCCTCCTCCTCCTCCTCCTCCTCCTCCTCCTCCTCCTCCTCCTCCTCCTCCTCCTCCTCCCCCTCCCCCCATCCTTCTCATTGCTCATCCCTCTCCGCCTCTTCTTCTTTCTCCCCCACGTGTTCCCCGAAGGGCTTCCACAACGGCCGGGGGAACGCGTAGTCCGATAGCTTAGCCGAGCTCTGGCCGTAACGTTTGGCCACACAAGCGCTTCCAAAAAACACAGGGGGCGGCGGTGACTCCAGGAGCCTTCGATCCGCCAGCCCCCTGTGATTGCCACACGGGTGCACTAGGAGGCCACATGCGAACCCTACCCCATATCCCCTCTGAAATCGGTGGGTGGTGGGTAGGGTTCGCATGTGGCCTCCTATGCACGGCTTGCTGGATGTTATGTAGCCGTTGATGATTTGTTCTGACTTCTGCGGGACCTTTGGTCCAACCCGCGGGCCACCCGGAAGGATGTGCTAAACCTCAACGTCAAAACACAAGACAAACATTCCCCAGGCCGCCAAGATGGCCCAAGAAAGCCGCCAAGATGCCTTCAAGGCGGCCCAGATGGCCCAAGACGGCCTCCAAGACGGTCCCAGCACGCCTCCAAGACGGCCCAGATGGCCCCAAGACGGCCCGAGATGTCCTCAAGACAGCCCAAGAGGCCCTTTAGACGCCCCAAGAAGGCTCCACGAGGACCTCCATGAAGCCAAAATCCTTCATGTTTCTTTGGTTGTTCAGCGATGTGAGCGTTCTCGCCTTTTGGGGCTTCCGACGCTCCTCACGTGTTGCCCGAACGGTTTCTACAACGGCTTGGGGAACACGTAGTCCGATAGCTTAGCCGAGCTCCGGCCGTAACGTTTGGCCACATAGGCGCTTGCGAAAGGCAGGGAGCGGCGGTGACTCGCCGTAGGCACCTTCGATACTTTGGTGACGCTCTCTGACTCCAAGAGCTCTTTCAAGCCACCCTCGTCGAACGCCTGTCGGAGGGCCCAGGAGAGGGAGGTGGTCGGAGGTGGAGCCAGCTCTCGGGAAGAGCATACAGTCGGACTCGACTGGACAGGACACGCGAGAGGACACAAGACCCTTCCGAGGGCCACGTTGCCACAGAAATGCAGGAGGCACGGGTCGCGAGACACAAGACACAAGGGTACCCTTGATTGGGCAGGGTCGACCTACTAATCTGGGCCGACTGCAGAAGAAGAAGCAGCGGCATAAAAACAGAAACTGTCGGCGCTCCGCACGGATTTCTTGGACCTGCGCTGGACACCCACGGGCGGCGCCGGAGGCGCCACTCGAGGGGCCCAGCGCGGATCCAAGAGATCCGCGCGGAGCGCCAAAAGCTCATGTTGATGGCGTGTTTTCTTCTGCGACTCTTAGAAGGCGGGAGGATTTCACAGGCAGGATACCCCTGCCGTCCCGGAAGGACGCCTCGCCAACGTTGGATGCTCATTCTGGAGACCTTCCTGGAGACACTCGCTCCACTCGTGCGTCGATGCTGCGTCGAACGTCCGTCGATTTGAGTCGATCCTGAGTCGATCCTGAGTCGATCATGAGTCGAACCTGAGCCGAAGCTGAGTCGAACCTGAGTAAAACTTGAGTCAAACCTGAGTCGAACTTGATTCGAACTTGAGTCGAACTAGTCGAACGGATCCGCTAGGTGGGCCCCAGGAAGGTCCCTCAAAACGAGCATCTAAGAATCCGCCGCCCCCTTCCGAGCGCCGCCGAGTAGTGCGGTTGCGCCGCGTCGTCTTTGTTGTGAGCTCGCGAGCGCGGGGGGCGGGCCCCGGGAGGCTCTGCTGGACAAGCAAAGGGCGGCCCCCAGGTACGCTGAGATCTTCGGTGGAGCTCCCCTTAGCCACGAAACGTGCGAGGGGTGTACGGACATGTTCGGTAGCAAAGAATCATCGGGGCCTGGTGTACCCTCTGAATTCCGCCTTTGAGGTCGATGGGCGTCGATAAGCATCTGGCAGTCGATGCAGTAGCGCCGGTTTAGCGTCGGTTGGCGTGGATCAGGGTCGACTTGGCGTCGGTCGGCGTCGATTTCGCATCGACGAGCGTCGATTCGCAAGAGCCGACAAGACGGTATAGGAGGCTCCGACGAGCTGCCGTCGAAGCAGGGCCCGCCGTGCGGACCCTGCCGCTGGGGCCCTCGGTGGAGCGCTCTCTGCGGGGCCGCGAGGCGTGTGGGGGGTGTGCCGACAGGGGTGTGGCTCCTCCTCCTCCTCCTCCTCCTCCTCCTCCTCCTCCTCCTCCTCCTCCTCCTCCTCCTCCTCCTCCTCCTCCTCCTCCTCCTCATATTCCTCCTCCTCCTCCTCCTCCTCCGCGGCCTGGGGCAGAGGCCCGGACGCGAGCGAGGGGGAGAAGGAGTGCGGAACGCGGGGCGCCGCTATTCAAAACGAGGACCCAACATCACAGGATGGCTGGAAAAACAGAGGACCCCCAGGAGCCCCCATGGAACCCCCACAGAGCCTCCAAGAAGCCATCGAGGGGCTCCAAACAAGCACCCCCGAGGCATCCATTGCCCCGAACAATCGCTGCGCAGACCCATGAGACAACAAAACGCTCCGACGGAACACCGCCCACCCAGCGGCTCATCTGTTTCAGGCACGGGCTTCACACGACAGCGGGGGAAGATTCACGCAGTGCCCACGAGCACTCAGGCAATTGACTACCTACCAAACAACCCCAACCCAACCCGAAAACCCGAATTTCGGGTTGGGGGGTACGGGTTCCATCCGTGTTTTCTCAATGTTCCCCGACCCCCCCACTGGAAATGAAGGGCAAATTGAGGCCTTCGGGTTGGGCTGGGGTGGTGTTGGTGGATGGTGAGCAATTGCAACTGCAATACCGTCAGAGTGCTACAAGTGCCCTCAAGATGCCCACCCACGACGTCAAGAGAGAGGGGGGGATAGACGGAAGAGGGCGACGACGACACAACGAACCCACGGCACGACACCACCGAGATACACAGACAGCCGCTTGCCAGTCGCACCTGCAGATCGCGCGATACTTTTGATGAAACCTGGCAGGCGGTGGATATGGCTAAGTCCCAGCCTCGGACGTTGTACTCCAACAGTTTGGTCTTCCACTGCAATGCTGCGCTGTCTACATGGTGGGACCCGTTTTTTTCCTGGCTGACATAGTGGACCAGAGCGTTCGGTGGCAACTCATGGGAGCCTCCCATACCATCTTGTCGGCTTTTGCGACGCTAATCGACGCTAGTCGACGCAAAATCGACGCTACATCGGCGCTATCTCATCGACTCCCAGACGCTAATCGACGCTAAAGACGGAATTGTGAGGGTACACAAGGCTCCCATGATTTGCAACCGAAAGAGCGCAAGGCCTCTTTGGACCACCACGGACATCGCCCGCAAGCTTCTGCTCTCTCGGGCACTGGGCGACGAAAGACACGGGTCTTGCACGAGATGCCCCAGCAACATTACGCGGTGGCTTACGCGGGCGGCCAGCGCGGAACGCTACACTGAAAACGAGGGCGCTTACGCGCGACCATACTGTCAACCCGTATCATAAGGAGGCCGTTTCGATGCTTTTCGGGCGAAGGGGCAAGGACGCAAGGGTACCCTTGGGAAGGTTGCCCATCCTGACCATGCGGGTTGACTGTACGCGGGCAGCTTACCCGCGCATGTCCAGGCAGTCGGGCCCGTCTTTTTGCATCGCTCATTTGCGTTGGGCGTCGCCCCCCTGTGTGGGGAGCACCCGCAAGGACTCCGCCTGGAGATGTCGTCACCATGGGGGGCCTTGGGTCGGGGGTTGCTCAAGGTGCCCCTGGCCCAGGGTGCCCCCAGCTTTCCGATCCATTTTGGAGCCCCTGGGGCCCTCCGGGCCTCGTGAGGGCTGCTCTGGAGGCCCTCGGGGGCCTCCTCGAAGTCCGGGGCGCACCCTGGGCCAGAGGCACTCCTGGCAACACCACCTCGGGGGGCCCACCGCGCCACCGGCCCGGGTGCGCTGAGCGACACCCTCGACCGGCACACGCCGCAGAAAACCTACTGGCGCCGACGGCCACGGACGGCGCACTCCTCCGCGAGCTCTACCGGTCCCCTCGGCGACGGCGCAGCGTCTCGCCCGTGCCCTGGCGATCCGCTTCCGCGTTCCCCGAGATCCGGCGTGGCGAAAAAAGCTGCGGCATCGCGAAAAATCACCACCGAGACCCGGCGAAAGCGCCTGGTGTAAAAGAACGCAGCGCCCGGATCTCAGGGTTCTGCCTTCGGTGCTATCCCGCTTGCGCGCTCGGTCTGCAGCAGATGACGCACAGCCTTGGCCGTGCAAGCACGGCAGCTCCATGCCCCGCTCTGCGGGGAGCACGAGCCCGCCGCGGGGCTGGCACGGCTGGGGGCACAGCTTAGTACACCCGCGAACGAGCTGTGTGGACGGTGGAGCAGTGGCCCAGACGTCGCCGTTCTATCCTTACGACGACGCCACGCGACATCACGACCCCACAACACAACGACACCACGACGGCACGACGCCACGACGCCACACGTGACCGCGGCACCACGCCGCGGCACCGCGACAACACGACACCACGGCGCCGATACGCCACGACACCCCACGGCAACACGACACACCGCGGCGACGACACGATGACACACGACACCACGACAAACCACGAGAAACCACGAGAAACCACGACGAACCATGTCACCCAAACACACCCAACGACGCCCGACGACGAACATGTCACCCAAACCACGAGAAACCACGACGAACCATGGCAGCACGACACACCCAACGACGCCCGGCGCCCGCCATCGCCCCACCGCCCGCAGCAGCACGAGCGAGGGTGACATGTATTCCGCCACCCGCGCCGACGACCCGGGGAACTCGCGCGCGGCTTCGCACGCACGTCAAGCACAACACGAGCACGAACTACAACTCCCAGGTGGGGGGGGGTCAAAGAAGTTCCACGCAACCTCAAACCCTCACATACTGACGCGTCTGGCACGCCATATACTCCCAGCAGGGTCTGGGCATGCTCGTCTCAGCACCATGACTTGAACAACCCTTCAGTAGGCTTGTTGCGTACAAGTATTCCCTTGGGAGGGCCCCATTACTCCCGCTCTGCGGCCTGAATACACTGCTTGCTACTATGGGCAAACGCAGAGAAACCAGGGAGCACTCCGCCTGACCCCGCAGGAAGTCCAACCGCCCTCCTGCCCCACCCCTCCGACTCTCCTAGCGGACGCGGACAGTCACGATGATCCCGAAGGATGGTTCACCGCTGTTTGCACATCTCTCCACCCAGGCCTCCTTCCCAAGCACGCAATGTCGAACAAATACACGGGGGTCGACTCCCCGGGGCCGGACATCTGCATCAGGCACAGCTCCCCCTCGCGGCTGAGAGCGATGCCCTCGAGGTCGATAGCGAGCTCCTCCTCCCGACACAGCACGGCCACGGCCTGCTGGCACTTCTCGACCGTGTCCACCAGCTCGGCCGCAGCCATAGCTCAGAGGCAAAGCAAAAGCCTTCTGCGATCGCACGCGGCCCCCGGGGCCTTGAGCCTGCACTGACACGCAGACTCGCTGGGCCACCCCGCCCTTGACAACAGAGCGCGGCCGCGGCCAAGCGGCCTGCAGCCGAGGTGCCGCGGGGGAGGGTGGGGGGCCTGCAGGAGGGGGCGCCGGGGCGAGGCGGAAGGCGAGGCGTCATCGTTTTGCCCCCTCCCTTCCCCCTCGCTCTTCGTGATGTCCCCCCCCCCCTGGCTTCCTCCTGGCTTCCTCCCTTCCCCCTGGCTTCCTCCCTTCCCTCCCTTCCCTCCCTTCCCCCTCGCTCTTCGTGATGTCCCCCCCCCCCCCTGGCTTCCTCCTCGCCCCTCGCCCGAGGACTGTGGAGGCGCGAGCGAGGGGCTCCTGGAGCGAGGGGCTCCTGGAGCGAGGGGCTCCTGGAGCGAGGAGGAGGAGGAGGAGGAGGAGGAGGAGGAGCAGGAGGAGGAGGAGGAGGCTCGAGCGGCCCCCTGCTTCGCGGCCACGGCGGGGAGCCTTCCTCGGCATGACCTGCCCCGCGAGAGGAGGAGGAGGAGGAGGAGGAGGAGGAGGAGGAGGAGGAGGAGGAGGCAAAGGGCGGCAATGGCATGAAAACTCGGAAACTGCCCGCGCGGATCTCTAGGGCCAGCGCTGGGCCCCGAGAAGGTGCGGACCTCGGAATCCCGAGCAACTTCACCGCACGGCTCGGGGGGCACGGAAGGGTAGGACAGCAAGGGGCTGGGTAGAGAATCAGCTCGCGCAGCTGGCGCCTCCTGGCGCCGGGAGGCGCCCAGCTTTCGAGGAGTGTGCGCGGCGGCGGGGCCGAAACCAGCCGCACCCAGCAGATCGTAACCCCCCCCCCTTTCCTTACCTATACATTTCCGTCGGGCCTGAACAGGGCCCGTCAACGCGCGGCTTGGGGGCCATGGAGGCCCCAGTTAGGGAACCGAGCTCTAGACACCGACGCGTTTCCCGACCCTGTACTGACATGTGCACAGGAGAGCGGATCCTGGCGTATACGGGGCACAGGTGTATACATTTTCCGTCGCTCTCCCGGGAAGCGGATGAAGAAAGTATACACCTCACCACCCCGACGTCGTCCCCGACCCACAAAAAACCTGGGAGTGAAAAACAGCCCGCCACTGGTAATGCATATGTTCCAGTCTCCAACCCGTCGCACGAGACTTAGGTCGGGCGTGTCCCCCTACAGGCGGGTTTCGGGCGAAAAATGAAAGATACCCGAAAAATTCACCAAAATAGCAGCAACCACACAAAAAAACAAGAAAAACGTCCCCAGACCATGGTTTGACTGTTGATGACCCTGCAGAGGGACAGGCCCGACTCCACACGCGCACACGAGACGTCCTCGGGGCACGACGCGCCCCGCAGCGTGGCCCCCCGCACCGCCCGGGGGCCCCCCGGTCCCACGGCGCCCCGCGCGGCGGCCGGGGCGCCGCCCGGGGGAGGGGGGCCCCACAGACACTCAAGACGGTTGAAAGAAGGGGTCCCGACGGGGGACCCGAACATACATTTTGAGCTCTCGGCCAAAGGATGCCCACAGAAGGCCCCGAGGAGGCCGCCAAGAGCCCCCAAGGGGCCGCGAGGAAGTCCCAATCCTGGCTCACAGGCCCCTGGAGGGTACCCCGTGGCGCCGACCCTCCAGGAGAGCTGCGCGGGGCTGCCGAGGTGGCCGCGCGTCGGTCGGGAGGGCGGCGGCGGTGACGGCTCGGGGGGGGCGAAAGGGGGGGACTCCTCCTCCTCCTCCTCCTCCTCCTCCTCCTCCTCCTCCTCCTCCTCCTCCTCCTCCTCCTCCTCCTCCTCCTCCTCCTCTGGAGGGTAGGGCAGAGAATCAGCTCGCGTGGCTGAGTTTCCCGGCGCCGGTCGGCGCCGGGAGGCGCCCATGCATCGAGGGACGGGCCCGGCGGCGGGGCCGAAACCAGCTGCACGCATGCGCAGCAGACTTCGTACCCCCCCCTTTCCCTATCCCCCCCGTTCGTTCGGCCCGAGCGGCGCCCGCAAGAGCGGCCACGCGAGGGGACTCCGCGGGGCGGGGCAGGGGCGCCCCAAAGGGGGCAACCAGCGCGAGCTGCTGGCAAGGGCCGCTGCCGTGAGGCTCGCTCACGATTCCCAAAACGATGCTCCAACTCGGTCCACGATGGTGCTGCGGTCGGTCGAGAGAAGTAGGCCGAAACATGCAGTAGGAAGGCGGACAAAGTGGACTGGGTCCAGGCCCACTCAGAGAATGACAAAACGCATCGAGACCGTGCCGACTCTGGAAGCAGGAAGGCGCTGGAAGCAGATTGGGATCTAGGAATCCAGATAATACCTAATACGACCAGCGTGCGTGCGACCCGAGATTTCGCGCTGCGAAACAATGGCAGCATCTCGAAGAAGCAACGGCCCGAGCAAAAAAAACGCCTCTGCTGCATATGCTTCGGGCCGCATCGATCTGCGATGGGCCCTGGGGCCCGACACGGGCGAAAAATCTCAAACGAAACCAGGACTAGGATGAATCCTGGTGAGGATACAGTCGACCCGTATCAGAAGGACACACGATAAGGATGCAAGGGCCTTGGAAGGCCATCTCGAAGCTTTTCAAGCGGGGTGCGGCCAACGAAAGTAGCCAAGGATAGACCGAGGAGGCAAGGATGCAAGGGTACCCTATGGAAGGTTGCCCATCCTTGTTATTCGGGTTTACTGTAAATCGAATATCTCTCAGATCCGGCAGCTCTAGAGGATGCCTCGGGCGCCGAGGCCTTTTCAGAGTTCAGTAACGCTCTGAGAGCGTTCTGGAACCCTCTGGAACGGATCTATCCTCGTCCTCGCCCCGTCCGAAAAGCGCCGGCGTGCACACATTGCAGTGTGCGGATCTCAGGGCATGCCGTCTTCTGTCCTCGTGCGCAGACCTTGGAGGCGGCCAGGGGGTAAGAACTGGCTGCGACCCTAGAAAATCAGCCAGGAGGGGGAAGGAGGCCCGATCCGCTGAAAATCTGTCCCCGAACCTCTCCTGGGGCTCATCTGGTGCAGCGCAGGTCCCCGTCTTTGACAGTCCTCAGTCCCGGGCGGCGTTTGAATAAATCGCGATGAAGTTCCACGCGCGCGACTCCTGCATACATTGACAAGCTTCGCGCGAGAACGCGATGTCTCGGTAAATTTTTGTGAGCGAGTATCAGGTGGGAGCCGCTGCTGTTGAACCCGAGTCCGGGGGCGCAGTCTGGCGACCCCACACTTCTCTTGTGCAAAGCAAAATGCCAGTCCCGGGAGGAGCACTTGAATTGAAAAACGCGATGGCTACTGTGCAGGAGGACCAATAATAATTATTCGTGGGAAATAAAAACCCAACAACAGCAACATCAACAACGACGACAACAACAACAACAACAACAACAACAACAACAACAACAACAACCACAACAGCAACAACAACAACAACCACAAAAACAAAAACAAAAACAACAACAACAACAACTACTACTACTACTACTACTACTACTACTACAGCAACAAAAACAACGACAACGACGACGACAACAACTACTACAATAACAACAACTACAACAACTACAAGAACTACAACAACAACAGCAACAGCAACAACAACAACAGCAACAAGAACAACAAAATCAACAGCAACAACAACAACAACAACAACAACAACAACAGCAGCAGCAGCAGCACAGCAGCAGCAGCAGCAGCAGCATCAACAACAACAACAACCACAACAACAACAACAACAACAACAACAACAACAACAACAACAACAACAACAACAACTACAACAATCAAAATCATGTTTAGACTGCTCGCTCTTATCTGCTCGCGTGCCACTCAACACGTATATCCCAAACCCTCAATGCCTGCCCTCTTCGTTTTCGATCGTACCCCCTTAGGGGTGTACCTTTCTTACCTGAAACGTGTACTTCGTGCAACCCCATTGGCAGGGGAATGGAGGAAGGATGGAAGGAAGGTACAAGGCGGAGGGAGAAGGATGGAGCACGAGAGAGATTAGCAGGAGGGGTAGGAGCAGAAAACACGAGGAATAACCAAACGGGCTCATTCGGCGAGTAGACCCTAACGGGCGGGTCGGGAAGGCGGGCCCAGGCGGCCAAATCGAGCAGGCGGGTTGCTGAAGCGTGAGTCCTGCATGAATCGCGAAGAAGTCTCGAGCCGTGATTCCCAAGTAAGCAGTAAGTCAGGCCAAAGCGAGAGCTTGATTCCTGAGTGTCACGGGCGCGGCGCCTGAATAACTTGTGAGGAAGTCCCACGCGAGAGCACGATTCCTGCACAAATTGTGAGGACGCCCCACCCAACAGCGCGAATTGAAATCAACAGTGAGGAAATATCAGGCGGGAGCCGTTGTTGTTGTTGTTGTTTTGGCAAACTAGAGGCCCACAGACCAGTCTAGTGACACTAAAACCAGATTGCGAGCCCCGGGAGTAACACTTTCCTTGAGCAGTGCAAGGGTCACCGCGGGGGGGGGGTCAAGAGGAATCTCCCCAAGGAATGCGAGTTCAGCCACACGAGCTCCCCAGACCCAGAGCCTCCAACCTCCCGCCCCCCTCCTGCTGGCCCGAAACCCGGCGCTCCGCCGCCGCAGACCCCCCCAAAGGCGGCTCCGAGCGCGGGCCCCTCCGGGCGGAGAGCGGGGAGCGCGCGCGGCCTTCATTCCCGGAGCGCGGCATGCCTGCCCGCGGGCCCCGCGCGCGCACGGCAGGGGGGGGAGGGGGCGGCGGAGACCCCCCCTGTGGAGCCACGCGCGCGGGCGCGCGCCAGGGCGGGCGCAGCCGTCGGCGCTGCGGGGGGGCGAGGCGGCGGATACGCCGCGGGGGGGGGGGGGGCTGGGCCGGTGCAGGGCGGGGGGGGGAAGCAGCGTGCCGCGGCAGAGGCGAGCAACGGAACGAAGCGGGTCGCACGCGAGATGATATATCCATATATATATATATATAAAGAGAGAGAGAGAGAGAGAGAGAGAGAAAGAGAAAG